CTTTACAGAAATGTATCAATAGTCAAAAGCTTGTGACCAAATCGTGACTAAATGGTATATCTAATTAGTAATAGTTTCGTTACGAGCTAGTAAACCATTAATCTGTATATGGCCGATATGCAGTTACTGCGCATTAAGACGATCGATGACGATATGACGACCAAAAAAAAATTTATTATCGAAGTTGTTAGATATTATTAAATAAATCGTAAAAATATTTATAGTACTTTGTAAATATATAGCAAATATTAATAAATAAATCGTAAATATATTTATAGTACTTTGTAAATATATAACAAATATTAGTAAATATATCAAAAAGAATTATAAACGTTTTTTAAAAAAATTAGTAAATGCAACGATAATTATTTTTGATGTTTCAATGTTAATTAGTACATGATACATAAAATTAATCTAATACCTCGCAGAAAAACATTAACCAACATTAAATGGCTTTGAAGAAATATATATTCCTCATATATAAATTATTCCCAAAATCATGTTCACCACTATTACATTCATCGTCATGACAACAATGAACAAAATGTACAGTACTACTTGTATCAACTACGCTCATAGAACATATCTGTCGCGTATCTTGAAGCCTGTAAACCGGACATCCTAATTTCATTAAATTAGTAATTTCGAACCTATTGATTGCAATCTAACAACCATACTTCAATATGTGATCTTTTTCTACGATCATTACTTTGTAAATTTTTTGGCAATTCATCAAACCTTAAAACGCGTTGTATGATTATTTTGAGTTCACCATGCATTTCTACTATTGCTAAGATTCTACCAATCTTTGATACTGTTTCTTTATAAACTACAAAATCTCCACAATTGTATATCTCTAAAATTGAATTGTTTAATAATAAATATTATATATTAATAAAAGTTCTCATAGTAATGCATTAAAAAAAATTATGACATACTTCCATTAATTTGAGTAAATGCACATCCAAATCGCGGTGATTCCTTCCATAGTAAGTCTCCATGCCAGAGTTCTATATTTTTTTCAACTATTTTACCTGGACCAAAATACATTTGGCCAAACAGTGATGGATTGTTAAGTGAATGCCAAATGATATCTGTAATAGATAAATAATAGATATCCTTGATTTCTTTAGAGGTTGATGGGGTTTTTTTGTTTGAAATATGAACTTTGCGTGATTTGATCGGGAGTAGAGGCAAAATTTGTTACAACATCTTCACTTTTGAACTTTGGATGGTTAATTATATCCACTAATTCATCATAAGCTCGGGTAGCTATTAGTATAATAATAAAACAAAAATTGATTAATAATGAAAATGATGGAAGAAAATCATTAAATATTTCCTTACATATGTTATGTTTTTGTATCCAACAAAACATCAATGCCTCAGTAACATTTTTGAAATACGGTGCAAACTCTCCATCAGTATGTGGCATCTGTTCACTGTTTAAGGCTTTATCAACAATTTTATCTGATATTTCTTTGCTTTGTACTTCATTATCATCATCATTATCACTACATAATCCGTCTTTAATATTAAAGTTAAATTCTTCATAATCATCAGATAATTCATCTTCACTAAAATACTCATTATTATCAAATAATTCTTCGAAAGATTCCTTGTTAAATGGCTCTTCTTCAAATAATTTTTCTTCTTTAAAAAAAATCCATTATTTATCATTTCGGAATTACTTTGGATTTCATTTGACATTTCACAATCATTTGAAATTTTATCGTCAACTTCCTCAATTGGTAATTTATAGTCAACTTTTTCGTTTGACAATATATAACTTTCATTATTTGATAATTCATATAATTCATAGTTGACTTTTTCACCGTAATCCTCTTCATTTGGTAATTCGTAAATAGTCACATCTTCTTTATTATTTAGTTCTATCATAATACTTTAACTTTTAATAAATTGAATATTTAATATATAAACTATAAAACAAATAAACCAATATTCACCATTTATTTTAGTGTCTTTTTTATTGTCCGTAGACTTACTCTGTGGGCGTCTTATATAGTTTTGGCGATAACTATAGGATGTGAACCGGTTGCGAAACATTTTACATAAAAAATAAAAGAAAATTATTTGTATATTTATATTATTTGTTTAAAAGTAATACATAAAAAAAAATCAAAAAAAAAAAATTCAGTTCGAAGCTTAATAAAGAGTAAAAAAAAATTCCCATGAACAACAATCGCTTCTTTTACAATTGAATTAATTGAATTTATTTTGATTAAACTATAATAGTTTACTGTCAAAAATAATCAGCTCTTTAACCGAATTTAATAATGATTATCATATACAAAAGAAACTTATATTATCGTTATTATTAGCCAAATTTAGTATGTATTCAACGAAAAGTTTAAGTAGTTTATTATTAGATAACCTTATTAGTAGCTAAATTTAGTAATCAAAAAGTTTAAATTATTGTTATGCTTTATAAGCAATGATTTAATTATAAAATCCTTTTCTTCTTTACTTTTACTAAATAATAATCATAATGAAGCCTTCTAGAAATTCAAAGAAACGTGCACTTGAAAAATTAAGCACTAATACAAATACTATAAAAACTCATGAAAATCAAGAAATGGCACCTACGGACGACTTTAATGATCCTATAATTAATACTAATGGTTCACAAAATGAAAGTGCGAGTAAAAGAGGTTGCAAAAAGATGGTGAAAAAAACTAAAGCCATGGATAATCACAATAATAACACCAAAAATCAACAGTATAAAACTACTAAAGGAATAAAGCAAATTCATAAAGATCATGAAGAGAGAAATGTTGCTATTCCACAAATACAGACAATTGATGAGCTTTTGAATGATATTAATAGTAGTGCAAATGAAGAAAACAATGATGACGATGAAGATGATAATGATATTACAAATGACAATGATCATCTGATGTCAATTTTAGAAAAAGAAGCTAATAGTCAAAATGACAAAGAAATAGAAACAATAATGTCAGTTATAGATTCAGAAACCAATAACCGTAATAATACATCTTTAAAATTAGGCCACACAAATTCGAATTTTCGGTTCACTTCACCCGGCCGGGTCACTTTTTCAAATTTCAATAAAAAAAAGTTTATATATAAAAAATTTANAACTCAGTTTTTGAATCAAGAACTGGCAGTCAAAATGACTTTACATCTCCAAGAAAGATTTTTTCAAGACCGAATCCAGCTTTATTGGATATTAATAGTCAAGATGATGGTTATATTTCTCCTTCAAGAACGATTTTAAGACCAAATTCAAGATCTCAATTGAGCGTCAATAGTCAAAATGATGATTATTTTTCTTCAAGACAAACTTCAAGATCTCAGTTGGACGCCAATAGTCAAGATGATTCAAGACCAAATTCAAGATCTCAATTGGGCGTCAATAGTCAAGATAATGATTATCTTTCTTCAAGACAAAATTCAAGATCTCAGTTGGGCGCCAATAGTCGAGATGAATCAAGACCAAATTCAAGATCTCAATTGGGCGTCAATAGTCAAGATAATTCAAGACAAAATTCAAGATCTCGGTTGGACGCCAATATTCAAAATGATGACTATTTTTTTCAAGACTGAATTTAAGATCTCAATTGGGAGATAATAGTCTAGATGATGACTATTTTGTTCTTTCAAGAAGAAGAACCAATGGTCTTGATTATTATGATTATTCAAATAAAGCACTATATCCAAAGCAAATACGACCATCACCTTTAGGGCCAAGATCAAATACGTTGAACATTCTCAATAATACATTCAACAAAAGTGCAAATTATTCCAATATTAATGAGGAAATTCCTTCGCCATTTAATGAAATGACTATTTACCAGCTTTGTTCATGGTTATGTAAAAATCCAAATGTTTTGCAGCTGGCAAATAACATGCATTTATCAATGCAAACTCCAGTTGTAGAAGGGGCACGATTTATCTCTTCTATCTCAGCTGGGTCATCAATTACAACGTCAAATCAAGAGTTTAAGACAAATGTTTGCCGAGACTTTCTAGAAGAATTAAAGTGTCTATTTTTACGTGTTCGAAATCCGCCAAAAAGTGCCTTTGAAGAATTGATACGACAAGTTCTTAAAAACTCAATTCAGCTAAAGGCATTGAATGGCTTCATACGGCAAATAGGCACTTTGGTGACTTCCGTAATAAATTAGTCAATAGTGTCGAGAATTTAGTTGAAAATTTCAAAGAAAAGAGGACATTGTTAGTATATTTTTTTCTTTCTCTTTCTTTTATTTTTTATTTAATGATGTTTATTAATTATATTTTATTTTTTATTTAATGATGTTAATTAATTATAGGTCTATGACAAGTCCATTACAAAGAGAAGAAATTATCTCTTTTGTGGATGAGACTGTTACGGCTCATGTGTTAAGTCGGTGGTTAAGTGCCACTAATGTGGACGAATTACATACTCTGGGTTCGATGTCTTGTTTGTGTAAATTCATTCAGAATGCATTTGCTGTTAATTATTCAGCAAGAGACACGGCAAAGACAAAGACTTTAGATAAATTGACAAAAGATATTAGAGTACCATCAAGAAATGGTAAAAACTTTGCGAGCAATTTGCACTTGTGATGAAGTTTTGCGTGTACTGTATTTATTTAATTATTTCCATTATTTATTCTTTTATAATAATTAAATAAGCGATTTTTCACATAATACATTATAATGTGACACATTTATTAAGCTTACAAATAATGCAATACTTCATTTATAATAATATTAATTTTTATCGTTCGTCTCAAAAATCTGCACTAAAAAAATTATAAAATTAAACTATTAAATTTATATATAGTTTATTATTTTATACCACATCAAAAACTAATTTTCTCAATTAATGTTAGTATTATTTACTGTTTTGTAAACATGCTTCTAATGTTTCTTAAATATTTCGAAACTTCTTGGTGATAGAATAGCAGCGACATTTTTACAATTCGTGACAATTTCGTATCATAACACGCAGTAACGTGATCAGTGCGATTTTCTGACGAATAGGAATCGAACACGTGACGATTTAGTTCAAAACACCGGGTTTCTGTAAAGTACTCAATAAATAAAGGAAGTAATATCCTTAATATATATGGAATTTCTCAAAATCCAGATACAAAAGAATATATTATGGTTTTCCAATATGCAAAAGGAGGCAATTTTAATCATTGGGTAAATGGAAACTATGAATATTTTAATTGGAGAGATAAATTAACTGCATTGCTTAATATTATTAATGGTCTTAAAGAAATTCATCAAAAAAATATAGTTCATCGTGATTTTCATACAGGAAATATTTTACTTTTAAATTTGACAGATGTTTCTAGTAATTGGATAACAATTTCAGACATGGGATTATGTGGAGAGGTTGGTAATATAGATGAAACTAAAATTTATGGTGTTATGCCTTATGTGGCTCCTGAAGTATTAAGAAGGATGTCTTATACTCAAGAATCAGATATCTATAGTTTTGGTATGATAATGTATTTTGTAGCAACTGGAATACAACCTTTTTATAATCGTGCACATGATCATCTTCTTGCATTAGCTATTTGTAAAGGAGTTAGACCCGAAATAAATGAACCAGAAGCACCAAAATGTTACATTGATTTAATGAAAAAATGTTGGGATTTATACCCAAATAATAGACCAAAGATTTTTGAAATACATGAATTAATTGTATAATTTAATGAGCTATATATGCAGGGTTTTTTCAGCAAAGCAGAAGAATATAGAAAAACAAATCTTTCATTCATTAAAAATTACCAAATAGCTACACATCCACAAGCTATTTACACATCTAAATTACTCAATCCTTTTACAGAAGATCTTCCAGAATACAATGATAATTCTCAATGTTTAGATGAACGTATTTAACAAATTTTGTTTAAAAACAATGTGAAATTATTCACTTAATATATATTTATATAGCTACTATTTTATAGTAATTTGCAATTATTTGTCCAATATTATATTAGATATGTAAGTTTGTTTTATAAAACAAGTAAATAAATAAACATTAAACATAGCAAGAAGCTTTAAATGTTATGATTAGAAGTTTTGAAAATTATTACAATTGAAAGATGAAATTAATTTATTAAATTTACCTTGCATTTTTTGAAGAGTATTGTTAAGCCAGGTCTTTTAGTGTTTATAATAATAAGCAATTTGCAAAGGGTAAGCAAAAGGATTTGATATCAAGAAAACTATGCAAACAAGTCCAATCAGACACGAATAGAGTGCAGTAACAACTTTTGCAAAAACAATCGGACACAAATAAGGATTATACAAAAACCAAATTTGTCTTTTGTTAAAACCAATATGACTTACTTTATTCAATGCAAAATTTTCCTCAAATAAATAATATCTTCTTTTTGTTTAAGTTTCTTCTTATTTTTTACTAGGGTGGCGTTGATGTTCAGTTAGAGTGACCACCACCACCGCCACTACTCATAGTTTATAGAATTAGAAAAAGTTTATCATTATTGGTTTATCGTTATTACTTAATTAATTAATAATAAAACTTGTTACTTTTAAATTTATTGTGCTGTTATCTTCTTTTCTTATAATAGTAATTGCTTCTCTAGTTCTCTTATTATATATTCATTGCCCTTTCAGTGACAGACATATAAATGTTAGTTTTGCAGGCATTATGATTTTTATTTATTTATTCTTTTTGTGTGATGAGATTAGAAAATATTATTTAGCGGCTGTCTATTTATTGCTTTTTTAGACACTTTCTTTTTATTCAGTTAATTATCATTATTTAGTCAATAAAAACGATTGCTTCTTTTTTTTTTATATAAAGAACAATATACAAGAAGAAAAGAAGATCGTGAATGTTTATTTTCTTTTAATATATATAAATAAAGAGAAGAAAGAAGGTCGTGAATGTTTATTTTTTTTTTTTACTTTATCTGTTTTTTGTGTTACATATTAAGTTAAACTGGATTTGACAAAAAGTATTGATTTACATAATTTTTTTTATAAATAGAAAAAGATTTTTTTTTTAAAATCATTTAATTAATTTTTTAATTTATAAAAAAAATGATCTAAATGCTTTTTTTCTGAATTTTTTTAAAAAATAACTAATAATAGTTTTTTTTTAATAAAAAAATTTACTATTAAATAGATATATTAAAATGACCGTGAATGGTTATTCCAACATGCAGAAAAGATCATCGAAATGAAAGATAAAATCATGATCGCTATGAACGTTAAGAAAATTGAAATGGAACAATTGGATAATAATGATAAAATTTGGTTTTGGATACATAATCATGTGTAATTGTAACGGACAAGAATTAAATTGGAAAATTTTTCAAGAAAACGATCTTAAAAAAGCAGTAATTAAGAGTATTATTATAAAATGACATTAATGCTCAATAATTCGGATGAAATAACATTTTCGATACCAAAAATATATTAAATCGGAAATGTTAAGCTTTTTAAGTGAAGATAGTGAACGAAAGCGATTAAATTATAATTACTTTATGGATTAAGATTTATGAAAGACATTATGGATAATAGTAATTTGAATATATCATGGCTGAAAATTGCGAAAAACAACGAAGTTAAATCATCAAATATACCAATACATTCATTTGAAGTTGATTTAATATCTTATACTAATTTTATTTTACGATGGAACAAAAAGACAATTTCAGGAAACTATAGAAATTGGATGAAAAGTTATAATAACATAAGACATAAAATTGAAATGTTGTTAAGCTTCCATCTAGAAGTAAGATAATATTTTATTTGAAAGTATTATAATATTTTGATTGGCCGAAAACTTTAAAATTTATTAAAAGTTACTTCAAGCAGCAGATTCGTTACGAATGTCCTGGATAACGAATTAAGAGCATATAAATTCAAATGTTTACTTAGAGAATTACCGACTTATGAAATTTTATATAATAGAAATATTAACAGAAGCTTGTATCTGATACTATGATAAAGTAACCAATTATCATACCAAAGAGTCATGGGATCATATATGGGAATGTAGTGATAAGAATTTTAATGAAGAAAAAGTCATCTCATGAGCTCACAAATAAATATAAAAATGATAACTTTACCATCAAGCTCTTAATATAATAATTCTGGTAGAATATTTTCAATTAATGATGAAGTTCTAATGAAAGACAACGGAGAGACATAAGGAATTACGTGAACTTACAAGAGGTATCTATAACAATGAACTAAATAAAATAGGTTATACAAAAGAAGAGAAAATAATGGTACAGGAATTATGGGAAACTCAATATATTAACGTCAGAAATCATATTTGGTTACCAAGATATAAACGAGGTGTAGAAATAGAGAAAGAGGAATTAAAACAATATATATACAGTATTTATATATAAATTTCAAGGAAAAAAAATTATACAATAGGAAAATAACTGACGAAGAAAATTATTAATGACAAAGGAGGATGCATCAACCATTAAAAAAACGTAAAACACAAAAAGTTAGAAAAAATCATTAGTAATAGTATTTTGATCAATAATAGTAGTAATAATACTGATATTAGTAATAGATATATAATTTTATGCTTTTAAAATAGTTAAACATTTCTTTTGAAAAAGGATAATAATAGTTTAACTAATGTATTATTATGATTGTATAAATTAAATTTATTCAATAAAGAAAAATACTTTACTATTAAAAAAAAAATAAAAATTTGTTTTTTATATTTTTATAGGGATGATGTTAAAATGCTCAAATCGAGCAATTTGAACAGAGTTTAAGCTAAAACCCGATCAAACACGCTTCAAATTGGTTTGTGGCTTCAAACTTTGTTGTAATAAAAAAAAATTATATTAATTATTAAATAATATACAATGGAAATATTCACAAATTAAAATTAGACTAGCTCGAGCAAAGCATGCTTACTAATACATTCTTAAAAACAGTTAAACAAACTAGTTCATGCTAAACCGGTTTTTGAGTTTGACTGGATTTGGAACAAACCGAACTGCTTGGGCAAAATAACATCACTAGATTTTAGTTATTAATCATTAAAAAAAAATATTACTTTTTATGAAAAAAAAAAGAACGTCATGAATTTTTATTATGTAAGTGTAAAGTTTTCAATATATATTGAACTGTTGTCAGTAAAAGTATTATAAATTATAAAACTCAAGAAAGGTTTAAGCCATATTTAGATGTCAAGCCAAACCGTAAACTGAAATCAGAAATTCGAGCAAAGGTTCGTCTGTATTCTCTCAAAGACTACATATTTTTACAAGTGATTGGTTAATCTATAAATCATTTTCATTGAGTGAGTTAAAAGGCACATTTTGTGAGTTACTTACGAGTTGAAAGTGGGTGAAAAATTTTTAATTTACGATCATGTGATAAAATTTTGGGATTTTTGATGCCACATAACAACTAAATCTTACGTTTGATTTACGATCACGCACGCCTTTATTCATCTGAAAAATTTAAAGAGCGTAATTCCAATAAATAAGCTGATTTGGTGAAAATAAAAAGGTTAAGTTAAAATGAATTAAATAATCAAATACTAAATAGAAAAAATAGAAGAATTTTTAGTTTTAAATTATGTAAAAAGACAGTATATTGTTGATTAAGCTTCAATAAATTATTATAAATTTGAGATTTTTATAATCTAAGAACATATCAGCTGACTAATTAAAATAAATACGTATAACGAATTTTTGTGATCACATAGAAATACAGTATGTAATATGTAGTAGATCAGTAGAATGTAAGGTATATCAATAGCCATACATATAGGTATATACCTGTGTATAAATTTTATTATATTTACATATAACACATAAATCGTTTGTAAATATTAAATTTTATTTTATTTCTATCGTAGTACTATGAAAAAAAAATTATATTTTAAATTATCAAAAAATAATTAATGATTCAATAATAAAATAATCGAAATTCATAAAAAAAAAATCTAAATGATTTTCACTGCAACAGGCGGTACGCCACATATGTACTGTAACAGCTAACTTTCAAGGGGTAATCTTACCACACCACCTGTCACAATATAAATAGTACTTTAAACGTGGTACTACAGGTGATATGTAATGCGATGACAAATAGAGATCAGGCTAGTAAAAAAAAAAGTGTTTCGAAGAAACATAATAAAAAATGTAAACAGGACATCACGAGACGAAGTGATAAAAACATCACAGCAGGGTGGTGTGGTAAGACTTACCCATTCAAGTTACACGATTAACCTGATACGGTTATCTGGATTTTTTTTTTTTTTTTTTTTTAAATATCCGCTTCTAAAGAAATTTGAAGCATTTATAATATATTTATCATGTCTAGAAATAGAAAAGTTTATGATGCAATTAATAGAGCGTATTTGGTTGTAACTTATAGTAAATATGGTGATGATGATATATTCAGTAAATATGAATTTAAAAAACATATAATTAAACGTGATAACTCGCTTACAGAAGACGAAAAAACAGAAGCAATAAAAATATTAACTAGAAGCTATGATGAAAATAAGATTCTTACTAATGAAGGAATAAAAAGATTTTGTGAAGGGTGTAGCCAAAAATGTTTGGCTACATCATATTGTGAACATTGTGTTCGAAATTATTTAGAAGCAAAATTTTCAAATTGGACATCAGGAAATAATAATATTGATAATATAATAAAAGAATGTCAAAGGAAAACACAAGTACCTAGTAAAATAACAGAATGGATTCCATATGATAAATTAAAAGATATCGATTATTTAACGAGAGGTGGATTTTCAGAAATTTTTACAGCAATATGGGTTGATGGACGTTTTATTGAATGGGATTCTGAAAAACAACAATTAAAAAGATCTGGACAACATAAAGTAGTACTAAAAAAATTAGAAAATTTTAAAAGTGCAAATCAAAGATGGTTTGAAGAGGTTTGTAATCTAAATTATTTAAAAAGTTAGTAATATTCTTAAAATTTTAATTGTACTTTCTTTTATAGGCCAAATTACATTTAACTATGAGCAATAAATGGAATATGTTTGTTCAATGTTTTGGTTTAACACAAGATCCATCAGATGGAAATTATATGCTTGTAATAAATAAAATGGATATAGATTTAAGAGAATATTTACGACAATATCATATTCGACTTACATGAAAAAAAAAAGTTGAAATTGTTTTCTATATAATTTCAGCACTCCACAAAATTCATAATTCATAGAGATTTACATTCCGGAAATATATTATATACAACTCGATTTTCTATTTGTGATCTTGGATTTAGCGGACCCGCAGATAAACCATTAGGAAGTATATATGGAAATCTTCCTTATATAGCACCTGAGGTTATTGGTGGAAAACAAACTACAAAAGCATCTGACATTTATAGTGTTGCAATGCTAATGTGGGAAATTTTATCTGGAAGACCACCATTTGTTGAACGTGAACATAATTATTATCTTGCAAAGGATATTATTAATGGTATAAGACCAAAAATTGTACCAGGAACTCCTTTAGAATATGAAGACTTAATGAAGCAATGTTGGGATGCTAATCCATCAAAAAGACCTGTCAAATATGTGCTTTGGGATAAAATATATAAAATTAATGCATCTTATCAAAATAAATTTGATAAAATGGATGAATCATTAATACAACCAGCAATAAACGAAATCTAAAAAATTATGTTAGTACAAGTAAAGTTCATCAATTTGAAAATCTTCCTGAACCAAGAAATGCAACAGCAGGTATTATTTTTAGCTTGAAATCATTTTATTAAATATTTTAAAAAAAAGTACCAATACTATGCCATATAATTAATGATATCTTATTTTTTTTAAATTAAAAAAAAAAAATAGAAGAATTAGAAGGTATGAAATATTCATAAATTTTCTTATAATTTATTAAGGTGGTTGATTATTTCTTCTTATAAATTTATAGCATTTCATAGTAAACCATATGATTTTGATATTCCTAATAACAGTAAGTATTTATTTAGATTCGTCTTTTTTAAGTTGCATTAACTAATGATTTAATTGATTTGTTGCTTTAGTTGAAGATTTTGGTAAATCAGTTAATCAAAAGGATAATGTTACTAAAAGTAATTTTATATTTCATTTTTCAATAAAATAACCATATTAATAATAATTTATTGTTTGGTAGCTTTAGATAATAGTAAAAAAGACCCATCCAAAGTATTTAATAAACTGCAAATAAGTTCAAAAATTGATAGTAAGTAAAACTAATTATAGTATATTTAATTTTCTATTTTAAATTTTTTATTAATATTATTAAATAAATCATTTATATTCTTTAAGATGTTCGAAATGATTATTTTAGAGAAGAAATAATACAACGTCAAAAAAAGAATGTTCATATAAATGGTATGCAAAAATGATTATTTAAATATATATAATATACTTAGTATTTTTTATTAATTCCATTTTATACTAGATGATGATGAAATGCATAATAATTCCAATTTTCATTCAGAAGAACAAAATGAATTGGAACTACCTGACGGTAAAAATTTTTTTAAAATGCTTGAATTTTATTTTTAAATTTAGTATTATAATCTTTTTTTTGTTTTTTTTTCAATACAGATATTGACAAAGAACAATAAATTATAATAACAGTATATCTAGAAATTTTTTTCTCATTGCTTGATATGAAATTATTTAAACACTAAGGATAGAGTATAGTAGATTTCTTTCAAAATTCTTAGTTTGTAATTTAAATAGTTATTTTTATACCATATCTTATCAATAAATTATTATATAACTGAAATTTATTAGATTACATGTCATGATTTAAAATTATAAAATGTAAGGTTTCAAAATTTGTGAGGATTAAATAATATTACATTGATTATCAAAGCATTACGTTTATTAAATATGATGGTATTTGTACATTTAGTACCTTAAATGATTAAATGCTTTTTTTAACTTAGTAATTATCTTTGATTCTGGCCATAATTAATGGCTTCAGTTGGAAATTTAAATGACTTTGGCCAATTATTTGATGAGGGTTTATTTATTATTTTTAGGAATATGAATAAACTGAATATGAGCTTGCATAACGATTTTTTAATATAAGCTTCGATTATGTATATTTATATTGTCAGCCTTTTGATCAAAGCTTTTCATTTTTTTATGATAATAATTAAAAAAATAATAAAGAAAATGAACATACGTAAAAATGATATACCGATTTAAGTTTAATAGTTTAATTTAATACATATCAAATTTAAAGCTGCATTAAGCTAAACTTAAGCTTATGTTTTTAATTGGATGTGTCTCCTAATAAGCTAGAGCTTTTTCATTAGATATTCGCTAGCAGCCAATATATTAGCTGGACATATTCGAATAAATTAACATCCCTAATATGAATAATTACGATATTAATATACTTCGATAATTATAATTGATTTATTCGTGAAGAAATCTCTTAATAAACTGCAAATTACTAATAAAAGTATCAAAGAATTAATTTTAGAAATAAAATTTTCCGAAAAACAGTATTAAAACTTTCATTAAATTTATTTTACGTTTGAATTTATTTATAAAATTATAAAAAAAGTCAATACTACAGTAGAATCATCAATATTATATAAAGCTTGCTTCAACAAATAGTACTAATACTTTCACACATTTTGATAATATATGAATTTTCCTGCAGAGAAAATAAATTAAATAGTAAATACATTCATTTACTTAAACAATGATCATGTAACACAATTGCAATAAGGAGTATGAACAAATAAATAAAATTATATAAATCCTCAATTTTATAGTCGGCCAATATGATCATATTTTTAGACAGAATTTTCAAGTTTTCAATACGAAGCAAAAGATTAAAAAAAATTTTTAAATATAATACCATTAAACAAAAATAAATTCTTGATTAAAAAAACTTTTCTCTTCAAATTTCTTTACCATGCTTTAATAATTTAACAATAAACTTTACAAATAAATAAAAAATTCATTATCGCAAATACAAGACCTCTACCAGCAATTCAATACCATCAGCCAACATTTAGGAGGTTTTATATATTCATAAACATGATTTAATGTAATTTCTTGATTTTGTATCTGCGATAATGAAGGTTTAAATAATCCATGATATTTTACAATATTCCCATATTTTTGTATCCATTTAAGATCTGGACTCTATACAAAAGAAATTAAAAGAGGAAAATATGTAAGTCAATTAAAATTAAGAATTATGACTATTGTAAATAATAATCATTGACCTCTTCTAACAAAAATGTTCCAAAAGGTTCCCGTAAAATGGATTTTCAGATGATGGACCAGGAATTTTTCTCAAAGGAGTAATATAAATTGGCCAAATACAGTATATAACCAACACTATAATTCCTAACGCGAAAAGCTAATTATAGAAGATAAATCAAGCATTTTTTATGACAATTTGGTAGTGAATTTCAGATTTATTGAAATAAATAACGATAAGAAGTCGGAGACATTTATCACGAGATACTGATTAATCATTTCGGTAGTTATGATGCCGTTTATATTTTAAAATTGCGTATCGTTTTTTTTTAAAAAAAAAAAATCAATAACGCATTTTATTACAAATATACTAATTTTAATATATTTTTTTCATTAAATTGTGTATCGTACAATTAATTACACGCCGACAGTTAGTGTTCCAATCCGTCAATCCCCATCCTTATCCGCCGTCGTTGGATATGGATCACGGATATCCGAAAATGACGGATGACGGATGACGGATTATCCGCAGATTGTAACACTACCGACAGTTTTAATTTTTGACGTTAATGGACAAAAATGATCGACTCTAAAATTTATTTTTCAACACGTTACCTGCAACTCATTTTTTTACAAAAAATTTTGTTTGTTTCTATCAAATTTCAAAATATGTATACAGATCAATTCAATTATATTAAATTGTAATTTCAAATTTCAGGTAAAATTGCCTGCGATTTTAACGAAAGTTCAGCTCTCATTTAACTTTTTAAAAAATAAAGCTATTATAACAAAAGCTTTAAACGACATATTATATGATGGTGATCGTTATTTTTTGATTATATATTTGAAAATCAAAATTAATCATTAGATAAAAAAGTTAGCATTTTTAATAACAGCAATCTTAAAAATTTTCGCAATTAATTTTGACATTTCATCAGGATTTAATTGTAGCTATATAGTATCATAATACAATATTTAGAATTAGTCATGACGAACAACATTTGTTATTTGAACTTTTGAGTTGAGATTTAAAGGTAGGATTTTGACCTTACATAGGACCCTAAAAAATGAATAATTTTCGAAAATTTAATAAAAAAAAAGAGCAAACTAAGTAAGCTGATTTTAAAATATAAAAAAAAATTTTATTAATTGTCATTTTCTTTTTGAGTATCTACTATCCTTGTTCTAATAATCCCGAATACTGGGTAATTTAAAAATACCAGCATATATCACTATTCGCTACAAAATTCTAAATTCCTTTATTGTTATTAAATCTTCCTACTTACGTTTCTCTCCTCCATTCTTTATGCAAGCATATGTATTGGTAGTTTTAACAATCGTTTTTATTTGTTCTAAAGAAAAAAAGAGACTAAAAATGGAATAGTGTGTTGGTAAATTAAATTGATATTCACGGGATAAATTTATCACAACTGAAATTCATGTAAAGGTTTAGAGTGTTGTAGAATATTAAAAGAAATTGGAGCCGGAAATTGTGTAATCTCTTCATCCTTATTGCCATGGTCTGTTCCTCTACACTACCGCTGCCGCTATCACTGCTTCTGCATCTACCTCTAATATTTTCTTCTTCAATTTCTTCAATTTTTTCAATTTCTTTAATATTATTATCATTTATATTGTCCCGTTCATTATCAATATCAAGTTGGGAAATATTTCTTGAAAATTCAACAATAAATTCATGTTTCTCTTCATTAGTTTCCATAATAAAAATAAAATAATAAATAAAACAAAATTTCGGGGTTTTTAAATTCCGAAATGTTTAATGATTAGCCACCAGCCACATACATTTGATGATCATGTTGATCATTACACCTACAAAATTATATGACATCATACTGTATAAACGGATTTCTGTATGGCTGCATTAAGATCAGTTATTAATTGTTCGCGTGCGGTCCCTAAAAAATACTTTTTAATGGAGATTTCCACCAAGAAATTAGCGGAGTTTATCCGCTGAGGCCGTTAATTTTAAAAAGCTTTTTTTTAAAAAAAAAAAAATTTTGCAGACCATTTAAGGGATACGTTTATTTACGTAAAATACTTTTAGATATTTTTGTGTAACACTAATAGTCATTCAAATAATAGTTACTTTACACTTGATTGGCACGTTCTATGGGTATTTCTGACTACCGATGTGCTGATCTTGGCTTTTTGGAGTTCCCGAAAATTCCGAAATCGGGCAATCATATAAATTGCCATCGGTCGATTAACAAATTGTCTTCTTTTAAAATGGCGCTATTATCTACCGAAACCCGAAACTGAATTAATCGTATATATCTTGCGATAATTTTCTCTTCACGACTTTTGAAAATTTATTCACTCAATTTGTTTTAATAAATTTGCAACAAAACAAAATGCTTGATCTGATTTCTTTAGTTGGTTTTTTTATATTAGGAATTATAGGGTGGGCCACTTATAAAATATATATTTGGCCAGTTTATATTACACCTTTGAGAAAAATTCCCGGACCACCATCTGAAAGTCTATTTTATGGAAATTTTAAAACAATTATGACAGAAGAGGTTAATAATATTATTATTAAATCGGTAATCATGATTCTTTTTTTACAATTTTCTTTCTTTTTATATATAGCGTACATGCCTTAAATGGGTACAAAAATACGGGAATATTATAAAACACCATGAAATATTAAATCAGCCAGCCCTTCTTATCTTGGATACGAAAATAATTCAAGATATTTTATTAAATCATGTTTATGATTTTATTAGACCACCTTATATGTTGGCTGATGCTATTGCAATAGCTGGTAGAGGTCTTGTATTTGCAGAAGGTGAAAATCATAAGAGACAAAGAAAAATGATGAATCCGGCTTTCATTCATAATAACATCAAAGTAATTATAATTCATTGTAGGTAAATTAATATAAAGTTAATTAAATTAAATTAATATGTTCATTCAATTTTAGGAAATGGTTCCAACGTTTATTCGAGTAGCTTTTACTTTAAAAAGTTTAATCGAAGATAAAGTGAACTTAGGAGAATCTGAAATTAATCTTACTTCTTATCTCTCAAAAGCTACGTTAGACGTGATTGGCTTAGTCGGTGAGAAGATAATAGCTTTTTTTCAAAGTTGATGTTTTCACATTATTAATAAGAAATTTTTTTTCTTTAGGATTTAATTACGATTTTAATTCATTAACGTCTTCAAATGAATTAGCAGAAGCTTATGAATCTCTCACGAATGCTCCAAATTCTGCTCTACGCATTGGCATTAATTATTTTTCAAGTTTTATTCCATCTATAAGAGAAATTCCAATCGATATAAATAAGCAATTTAAAAATGGTTGTGCAGTTATTGACCGCGTATCAAAGAAATTGGTTGAAGAAAAATATAAAGCGGCAGAAAGTGGTGAATTGAAAGGAAAAGATCTCTTATCTCTTTTAATTAACATCAATAAGACATTACCTATTGAAGAGAAAATGACTGACAACGAGTTAAAATATCAGGTAAAATATCTAATTTCTCGTCATAGTGCCATGGACCTAATATAGTGACAAATCCCAGCGTTATTATCGTATATATTATCCTAATCACTTTTTTTGAATATTTTAGATTATGACATTTTTATTAGCAGGACATGAAACTACAAGTGTTTCAACTTCTTGGGCTTTATATTTCCTTTCAAAATATCCACATATGCAAGACTTATTGCGTGAAGAATTAGTTAAAGCTTTCCCTGATAAATCAAAATTCAATCCCACATTTGATGAAATTAATTCTTTGGAATATTTAAATTGCGTAGTTAAAGAAACTTTAAGATTAAATCCTCCAGGTATACATTTAAATTTTTAATTTTTTTTTATATCATATTATTAATTATGTTGTTCTACTGTAGTTGGTGCTACTAGTCGACTTAATACTAAAGATGAAGTTTTTGGAGGATATCACGTTCCAAAGGTATATTTACCGGTTTGTATTTTTTTGCCAAAATTTAAAATTATTAATTTGATCTTTTTCTATTAAAATAGAATACTGTAATGATAATTGCAATTTCAACACTTCATCGACTGCCTGAAATTTGGGGCCCAACAGCTGCTGAATTTGATCCAAAAAGATGGTTGGATCCTTCCTTAATTAAGAACGTAACAAATTTTAACTATTTGCCTTTCCTTGCTGGTACAAGAGCTTGTATAGGCAATAAAGTAGCCTTGACTGAATTTAAAATATTATTGAGTATGTTAATTAGGAATTTTGTTTTTAAACCAATTGAAGGATTTAACATTAAAAGAAGATTTATTCCTTTGGATAAACCTGATCCATACCTTGGATTATCTGTTTCTAAAGTTGAAAATTAACAAAGTTATCATATTTATAATTATAGTTTATAATTTATAATTTATAATTTATATATTGTTTGATTCTTCATCTGCTTTTATTTTTTTGTTGTTTCAGAGTTTTATATTAGTTAGTTTGACATTTAGAATGTCATAAGTTATTTATTTTATAATAAATATAATAACTATCATATAATCATAACTATAATTTTGTTTCACTGTCTTTCACATCATGGATATGTTTTACTCATCATTGTTGGTAAAATCATCCAATAGATGTTGAATATCAATATTAGTTGCTTCTTTTGAACTACAATCCCAGATTACATGTAGTGCAGTGGGACCGAGGTCAGCTATTTCTTGATCCAGTGATCATACTTTACAGAAACTTCAAGATCGTAGCGATGGCTTAATTGCGTTATAAATACATAGTGACCACATTATGTCCAGTAAATATTTTTTGTATAAATTTATACCAAACGGGTTCATTGGCTCAAAATTAGCTCAAATTTATGCAAAAAATAATCCAAATTTAAGCCAACCTAGAGCCAATTATATATGGATGAGCCCATTTGGTACAAATTCATACAAAAACTATTTACTGGGATGTAATCGTAAAGAAATTACATATATGCAGTTAGTACTGCGCATTAAGCCATCGTTACGATCTTGAAGTTTCTGTAAAGTAGAAAGATGTCCAATATTCCATCTTTTTCCGTTAAAGGCTCATGTTTGCGGAATTAATAACTTTATATCACGGAATTTATCAAATCACTTACATTTTCCGTGAATGATCGTAAAAGGCTCATTTTACGGGGTCTTTACAGAAATAACGGATAAAATTTTTATAGGGATGAATACAGCTTGTTAGAATCGTCTCGCCCAAACAAATCAAAAATCGAATGGTGGTGGTTTTATCATTCTATGATCAGTTGGTGCTAAGTACGCCAAAATCCAGTTGCTAGCCATGTATAGAATGATAATGAAAGATTTAATTTTTATATAATTGATCTTTTAAAGTCTACTGTAAAAGACTGACTGTCTTAGCTGATCTTCAAAAAGAATATTTAAGGCCATAAGAGTTTGTAGCCTTTTTGGTCTGATATTTTCAGTCTTAAGAAAGAACAGGTTAACACCTTTAGTAGTGATTAAACCAATCTTGAGAAATCAAAGAAAATTTGAGAACAATCCTAAATTTTCATTTCTAAGATTTCGGAAAACCCAGAATTTTCCTGGATAACTAGTACGTAGAGAAATGTCGATTATTAGCGATTACCAGAGGAAATCTTGGGAAATTTTCAGTGAAAATATTGTAGTGTTACACAAAGTTTTAAAATTTATTTATAATGAAACTACCCTAAAAATTGATGAAATAACCAAAATTTTTTCCAGAAATTGCCCATTTTCTATATAATAGTACAATAGGACCCCGAGTTATACATAAAAGGTAGGGTAAGGGTTTGCGTAGAATTGACCAAAATAATCATGTAGATCTTTCCTTTTATAGATAATTCCGGCCGGAATTTGTTTCCTTTTTTAGACGCTGACTGGCATTATCATAATTCCGGCCCTGAAAAAATGCATAAAGCTACTAATAAATTTTTTTGCACCTACTCTATACTGTATATATAGCCCGGGGTCCTAGTACAATAAAATTAACGGTAATCGCAAATTTTGGAAATCGATTATTTTAGGGGTTGTTGTGTAGGGATCGCACTAATTTGAAAAAGGCGATAAAAATATATATAGTTATATAGTTCCTTTTAAAAAATAATACGTAAAATCACTCCACACTTTTTAGGCCATTCATGCCCAGCTATATAGTAATTAATATATAAATAAAAGCCTTTATTTTAATAATTAGATAAATCGACAGACATAATTCTAGTAATTCACAATTATCATAATAATTTACTAATAAAATTTATAAATAAATAAAGAATTCATTTAAAAAAGATTCTTAACAGGACCCCGAAAAATACTATGCGTAGATTAGGCCAAAATAATCATGTGATCATTCCATTTTCGATAATGTTGGCCAGAATTTTATTTTCTGTTTTAGTAACTGACTGACACAATCATAATTCCGACCCTGAAAAAATGCCAATTGTAAACTTTTTTGGCCGAACCTTACCAATTTTAATATTTTTCGGGATCCTTCTTAACTGGCGGCGATATAATTGCCGTAAATCAGAATCCTCTAGTTACCCATAATCTTGTTGCTACCAAAATAATAATAAAATTATGAATAATATACTATATAATAACTAAATAAAAAAAAAACGTAAAGATAAAAGGATGTAAAGAATAAAAATTCGCATAATAAACTCATGTTGCAATAAAATTTTGTTATGTCAACCTTCAACTTTAGAAACAGCTAGTAATCCAAGATATGGGTGAGGTTTATTCACAGTAAGAGTTCTTTTTTTGAATTGGAATCCTTCTATTTGTTGAAAAACGAAGTTTCTAATTAACATACTTAATAATACTTTAAATTCGGTTAAAGCTACTTTGTTGCCTATACAAGCTCTTGTACCAGTAAGGAAAGGTAAATAATTTAGATTTGATACATTTTTAGTTAATGAAGGATCCAACCATCTTTTTGGATCAAATTCAGCAGCTGTTGGGCCCCAAATTTCAGGTAACTTATGAAGCGCTGAAATTGCAACCATAATCACAGTATCCTATTAATAAATAAAAATTTAATATAATTTGAAATTTAACAAAATATAGTATATAAAATATACCTTTGGAATTACATAATCTCCAAAAACTTTATCCTTAATATTAGTCCGGGTAGTAAGAGATACTAAAGTAAAAAATTAAAAGGTAATAAGTCAATTTGCTAAATAAATTAAATAAAATAAAATTAAATTTATACCTGGAGAATTTAATCTTAAAGTTTCTTTAACTAAGCAACTTAAATACTCCAAAGAATTAATTTCATCAAATGTAGGATTAAAATTCGATTTATCAGGAAAGGCTTTAACTAATTCTTCACGCAATAAGTCTTGCTCATGTGTATGATGTGCGAGGAAATATAAAGTCCAACATGTTGATATACTTGTTGTTTCGTGTCCTGCAACTAAAAAAGTCATAATCTAAAAATATCCAAAGATAACAATATTTCAACGCGCATTTAATAATATTGATAATAAATTTATTGTAGTAACCTTTAGGTTAATTACCTGATATTTTAATTCTTCGTCAGTCATTTTTTCTTCAATGGGTAATGTTTTATTAATATTAATTAATAAAGATAACAAATCTTTTCCTTTCAATTCTCCTTTTTCGGCTTTATTATATTTTTCTTTGATCAATTTCTTTGATACGCGGTCAATAACTTCGCATGCACTTTTAAATTTCCTATTCATGTCTATTGGAATATTTCTGATATATGGCACATAATTTGATAATAAACTAATGGCAAAGCGTAAAGCAGGTTGTGGGACATTTGTAACAGAATCATAAGCCTTTGCTAATTCATTTGGAGACGTTAATGAATTAAATTCGTAATTAAATCCTAAAAAAAAAAAATGAAATTGTAAGAAAACAAATAAATATCAACATTGAAAAAAATTTCCATTTATTTTCTTACCGACTATTCCAATGACATCTAAGGTAGCTTTTGAGATATAAGGAGTAAGATTAATATTAGATTCAGTTCTCCTAGGTTTACTTTATCTTCGATTAAATTTTTTAAGATAAAAGCTACTCGAATAAATGTTGGAACCATTTCCTAAGATCGAATGAACACATTAATTTAATTTAATTAATTTTTATTATATTTGACCAACAAACAATAAAGTATAAATTACTTTGACGTTATTATGAGTGAAAGCTGGATTCATCATTTTTCTCTGCCTTTTATGATCTTCTCCTTCCGCAAATACAAGACCTCTACCAGCAATTGCAATACCATCAGCCAGCATTTTAGGAGGTGTTATATAATCATAAACATGATTTAATGTTATTTCTTGAATTAATTTCGTATCTGCGATAACGAGGGTTGGCTGATTAAATAATCCATGATATTTTACAATATTTCCATATTTTTGTATCCATTTAAGATCTGGATTCTATACAAAAAAATTAGAGAAAAATATGTAAGTCAATTAAAATAAAGAATATGACTATTGTAAACAATAATTGACCTCTTCTAACAAAAATGTTCTAAGGTTTCCGTAAAATGGATTTTCAGATGATGGACCAGGAATTTTTCTTAAAGGAGTAATATAAATTGGCCAAATATATATTTTATAAATGACCCATACTATAGTTCCTAACACGAAAAAGCTAATTAAAGAAGATAAATCAAGCATTTTTTATGACAATTTGGTAGTGAATTTCAGATTTATTTGATAAGAAGTCGGAGATGATATTTATCGCAAGATACTGTATTTATATGACAAATCATTTCGGTTTTCGGTAATCATGATGCCGTTGTTTACATTTTAAAATTGCGTATCGTACAATTACACGTCGACAGTTTTTAATTTTTCGACGTTATTGGACAAAATGATCGACATCTAAATTTATACTTACCGATTTTCGTTCGTAACACAGCGCACCTCATTTTTTTTTACAAAGAATTTTGTTTGTTTCTTTCAAATTTCAAAATATGTATAAGTTTTACTAGATCAATTCAATTATAATTGTAATTTCAAATTTATAATATTTACATTATTTTGATAATTTAATCTAATATATATCGATATATACAGTCAAAGCTCGTTATAGTGAATCTCGTTATAGTGAACATTAAGTAAAATCACGTTATAGTGACCTATTGATTTTTTTCTTTATGATTAATTTCTCTCGATACAGTGAATTCTCTTAATAAATCTCGTTATACTGAAAAAAGGGGAAAAAATTATATAGTGGAACGGAAAGTTCACTATGACGATATAATATACAGTAAAAGATAGCGTTATTTATATTTTAGCAGAAAAAATTTTTCGAAATTGCCTTAGCGATAGAAGCTTCAACAAAGGCAGTAGTCATTATTTATATTTTCTCACTTTTGAGAACCACTTTCAATGGTCTAATAATGGGAAGGACATCATGTATATTATCTATCGCTTGCACGATTAGTTATTATATTAAATCACTCTTAGTGATACTTTAACTATTTTATTTTTAAATTGACAATAAAAATATATTTTGCTAAAGAATTTTCGATTAATTTAAATCATATTTTTTTTAAAATAATTATTTGTTACATAAATCTGCAATCATTAATTTTAATGCATGCAAAGTGATCTCTTGCTTAAATGCAATAAGAATATTCTATTTTTAGAAATGCATTTAACAAAGAAAAGTTTGATTGATTTTTAAAACATTAAAATTTCAGTTAGACTGTAATATGCAATTATGTTTATTTTTAATAATGATTTTAAAATACTGTACATTTCATTATAAAATGAAAGTATTATGATCGTTATATTATAATAAATATTTTTCATCAACGCAAACTAAACAATTCAAATAAAAATGAAATTTTCGTCGCTGCTCTCATTCAAAATTCAGAAGATATTTTAAATATATAAAATAAAGTTTAAAATATGAGAAGTAAAGAAACTATCTCACATACATAATATATATACGTTTATTTTACATAAAATAATTTTAGATATTTGTGTAATATTATTAGTCAATAATATTAATGTACGATCGGCACGTTCAATGACTTTTACCCGGTATTGACTGATGTGTTGATCTAAAAATATAAAATTAAGCAATTTAATTAACTTTATTAAGCTTGGCTTTCCCCTTGGCGTTCCCCGGAAATTCCGAAATCGTGTATATTAGGCAATCATAGAACATTCCAATACCGTAAATATATAAATTTAGCAGCCATGTGGCCTTGTGAAAGTACTATAGCAAGTCGATTGTCGATCATTCTGTCCAATGTCCAATTAAACGTTAAACACAAATTGTAACTGTACAACATGTCTTCTTAATGAACCGGCGATTATTATCTACCGAAACCCGAAACTGAATTAATCGTATATATCTTGCGATAATTTTCTCCTCACGACTTTTGAAAATTTATTTACTCAATTTGTTTTAATAAATTTACAACAAAAACAAAATGCTTGATCTGATTTCTTTAGTTAGTTTTTTTATATTAGTTATTATAGGGTGGATCACTTATAAAATATATATTTGGCCAGTTTATATTACACCTTTGAGAAAAATTCCCGGACCACCATCCGAAAATCTATTTTACGGAAATTTTAAAACAATTTTGACGGAAGAGGTTAATATATTATTATTAAATCGGTAATCATGATTCTTTTTATACAATTTTCTTTCTTTTTATATATATAGCATACGCGCTTTAAATGGGTACAAAAATACGGAAATATTATAAAATACCATGGACTATTTAATCAACCAGTCCTTCTTATCTCTGATACAAAAATAATTCAAGATATTTTATTAAATCATGTTTATGATTTTATTAAACCTCCTCACATGATGGCTGATCTCATTGCAATGGCTGGTAAAGGTCTTGTATTTGCAGAAGGTGAAGATCATAAGAGACAAAGAAAAATGATGAATCCGGCTTTCATTCATAATAACATCAAAGTAATTATAATTCATTGTAGGTAATATAATATAAAGTTAATTAAATTAAATTAATATGTTCATTCAATTTTAGGAAATGGTTCCAACGTTTATTCGAGTAGCTTTTACTTTAAAAAGTTTAATCGAAGATAAAGTGAACTTAGGAGAATCTGAAATTAATCTTACTTCTTATCTCTCAAAAGCTACGTTAGACGTGATTGGCTTAGTCGGTGAGAAGATAATAGCTTTTTTTCAAAGTTGATGTTTTCACATTATTAATAAGAAATTTTTTTTCTTTAGGATTTAATTACGATTTTAATTCATTAACGTCTTCAAATGAATTAGCAGAAGCTTATGAATCTCTCACGAATGCTCCAAATTCTGCTCTACGCATTGGCATTAATTATTTTTCAAGTTTTATTCCATCTATAAGAGAAATTCCAATCGATATAAATAAGCAATTTAAAAATGGTTGTGCAGTTATTGACCGCGTATCAAAGAAATTGGTTGAAGAAAAATATAAAGCGGCAGAAAGTGGTGAATTGAAAGGAAAAGATCTCTTATCTCTTTTAATTAACATCAATAAGACATTACCTATTGAAGAGAAAATGACTGACAACGAGTTAAAATATCAGGTAAAATATCTAATTTCTCGTCATAGTGCCATGGACCTAATATAGTGACAAATCCCAGCGTTATTATCGTATATATTATCCTAATCACTTTTTTTGAATATTTTAGATTATGACATTTTTATTAGCAGGACATGAAACTACAAGTGTTTCAACTTCTTGGGCTTTATATTTCCTTTCAAAATATCCACATATGCAAGACTTATTGCGTGAAGAATTAGTTAAAGCTTTCCCTGATAAATCAAAATTCAATCCCACATTTGATGAAATTAATTCTTTGGAATATTTAAATTGCGTAGTTAAAGAAACTTTAAGATTAAATCCTCCAGGTATACATTTAAATTTTTAATTTTTTTTTATATCATATTATTAATTATGTTGTTCTACTGTAGTTGGTGCTACTAGTCGACTTAATACTAAAGATGAAGTTTTTGGAGGATATCACGTTCCAAAGGTATATTTACCGGTTTGTATTTTTTTGCCAAAATTTAAAATTATTAATTTGATCTTTTTCTATTAAAATAGAATACTGTAATGATAATTGCAATTTCAACACTTCATCAACTGCCTGAAATTTGGGGCCCAACAGCTACTGAATTTGATCCAAAAAGATGGTTGGATCCTTCCTTAATTAAGAACGTAACAAATTTTAACTATTTGCCTTTCCTTGCTGGTACAAGAGCTTGTATAGGCAATAAAGTAGCCTTGACTGAATTTAAAATATTATTGAGTATGTTAATTAGGAATTTTGTTTTTAAACCAATTGAAGGATTTCATATTAAAAGAAGAATTGTTCCTATGAATAAGCCTGATCCATACCTTAGATTATCTGTTACTAAAGTTGAAAATTAACAAAGTTATCATAATTATAATTTATAATTTATATATTGTTTGATTTTTCATCTGTATTGTTTCAGAGTTTTTATATTAGAATGCCATAAGTTATTTATTTTATAATAGATATAATAAATATCATATTTTAACCAATATAATCATAACTATAATTTTTTCACATGGATATGTTTTTTCTTTCATCATCATCATGTTGGTAAAATCATCCAATAGATGTTGAATAATATTACTGTAATCAAGTTTAGTTGCTTCTTTTGGACTACGATCCCAGATTACATGTAGTGCAGCAGGACCAGCTATTTCTTGATTTAGTGATCATAGAAAGATGCTCTATAAAAAAAAGTCGATCTGTATTTTATATTCCATCTTTTTCCGTTAAAGGCTCATATTTCCGGAATTAATAACTTTATATCACGGAATATATCAAATCATTTACATTTCCGTGAATGGATCCATAAAAGGCTCATTTTTACGAAGTTCTTACAGAAATAACGGATAAAATTTTTATAGAGATGGTTAGAATCGCCTCACTCAAACAAATCGAAAATCGAATGGCGATGGTTTTATCTTTCTACGATCACTTAATGAGTTAATTTTGAGTACGTCAAAATTCACTATTTTAACGCTTATTACTGCGCCTTTAACGTTGCCAGCCATGTATATACTGATATTTTTTAATGAAAGATTTAATTTTTATATATATAATTGATCTTTTAAATGAAGTCTACTGTAAAAGACCGACAGTCTTAGTTGAACTTCGAAAAGAATATTTAAGGCTATAAGAGTTTGTAGTTTTTTGGTCTGATATTTTAGTCTTAAGTAAGGCCAGGTTACACCTTTAGTAGTGATTAAACAATTTTGAGAAAGGAAAGAAAATTTGAGAATAATCCTAAATTTTCATTTCTGAGATTCCGGAGATATAAAATGGGTTTTCTGCCCTCTATACTAGTTATATCGATATTAAACAATATGATGTATAATATGAGAAAAATCACTCCACACTTTTTAGCCACCCGCGCCCCTAGGACTAAGGCTATGTAATTAATATATAAATAAAAGCCTTTATTTTAGTAATTAAATAAATCGACAGATATAATTCTTCATTTAATTTCTGCAAGTACTGTGGTTTTGGTTAAAAGTTATCATCACGCGGTCAAAATCAAAGTTTTAAAAATGATTAAAAATAATGTTAGTATTGGAAACTTAACTCCTTTTAATTTTAATTATCAACATTAAATTTTTTTAAAAACAATGGTATAAAAAAAAAAAAATTCCGAATACCAAGTTATTCCAAGTTATTCTAACTAAGTACTTCAACCAACCATAGTCCTCCTTAAAAAACAAAATTTATTAAGAATTCTTATATTATAAGTTCATATTTATATTCACGATTAGATATAATTAATAACATCTTAATTATGAGAAAATGCATAATATTTGGGCAAATTTAACAATATTAGTTGATATTGCAGCATATTGTTTTACTTATTTTCTTGTAATATAATAAAACTCGAGCAACTATTTGGCGTCTTGATGAGTTATTATATAAATTAAGTTGCTAAGACTACCTGCGATATAGCCCCATAATAAATTTTATCCGTTATTTCTGTAAAAACTCCGTTAACATAAGCTTTTTACGGAAAAAAAGATGGAAAAAACGGATCGACTTTTTTTATAGGGTAGGCGGGGTAGCTGTATTACCTATAATAACCTTCATTAATAATCAAATAGTATTATACTTGCTTTATCATCATTTTATTTACATAAGATAAATTAAATCTAGTAGTTTAAATAAGTTTACTGAATTTTTAAATAATGAATTATAAATGTATTTTTTCACGAAATTACAAACACGCCATGGCGCTCAATGCCATAGTTATATACATGATTTATGTATTTTTTATTTGTTTAACTTTTTATTCTATATTATTAGTAGATTAGCTAAGCTGATTTTATTAATATAATAATTATATTTAATTCTGCAGTCACAATCTTTTTCGATTTTTTTTTTATTTTACAATATTTGCAATATAAAAAATATATAGTACTAATCAAATCTTTTTCCTGGCCATTTTCGAGGCGAGTGCTGAGCAATTTTAATTAGTATAACTTCCATAAAAATGAGTCTTTCATGGATTCATTCACGGACAATGTAAATAGTTCGATAAATTCCGTGATATAAGGTTATTAAATATGAGTCTTTACGGAAAAAGATGGAATATAAAAAACGGATTGACTTTTTTTACAGTGTAGCTTAGACCATAGTTTTTGGTCACATTATGGCGTTGAGCGCCAGTGGTGTGAATTAGTAAAGTCGTTTTTTCATATGTGAATCATGAGTAAAATTATGCATTATGACTCATTAAAGCTGTGAATGTTATATTTGTAAAAAAAATTGGCAGTCACTTTTGATCTAGAGCTTTCATTTAACAACTTCACGTGTTTTCTCGTACAGCTGCGTAATTCTGCGCATGATCAATCCAGAAAATTTCTGCGCATGACGGCATGATCATCCGGAAATCGTAATGATAGTATGAGAGATCGGCACTAATTACTACCTGGCAATCATCCAAAAAGGAAGGATATTATGGACGCTACACGGACACACGGACTTGGTATTTGTTGCCTTTTTATGTGTTTCAAATACTAAGTATGGAATAGTATAACCAAAAGTAACAATAAATTGATATTATTCAATGGTTCTCTGAACCAATTAAAAAATCTTGTTTGGTAGAACTTCAAACAAAACAAAAACAAAAAAGAATAAATTTTTTCTTTTTAGAAATAATGAAAATTGAAAGAGGATTATATATGGTAATACAGTGAATTCCATTGGATACTTAATAAGATTGTTTTAAAAGCTTTTAATTGTTATTCTATATCGAAATTTAGAAACTTTAGGAGTGGAATAATAACCATATCTGATATTGTTTATTAAAGTAAGTATTGTTCTGCGTAAATAACTTTCAAACCAATTTTTTTTTACAAATCGTATTGTATTAATTCCACAATTCATGCGTATATGATTTTTTTCGATCTTCAATTTGTGATACGATATACTAAGGAAAACACTTTATTTGCTTTGTGTAATAAGAAAGGTCCCTTAAATATGTGCCACGGGTTTACTATGATATCTCAAATATATTCGGCAACTTGGCATTCGGAACAAGGGGAAGCAAATATGAACACAATAGCATGTAACGTTAATCAGTAACCTGTCAGATTCATTTTTATAGAAAGCAAGTATAAATAGTCAAAATTCAACTGTGGGAAAATTTTTCGGAATCTGTTATGTCTTTGTTAAGATCAATATAGGAAACAAAAAGATTATACTCTAATAAAATGATCCGCAGTTAATTTGTACAAATGACATCAAAGGACCTCGTAAAAATTTTATCCGTTAATGACAAAAGGGGGGGTTCGCTAAATTTAGAAATTTGCCTTAAACTCCTAAAGGAGATGCGTTGAATGTGTTTTGCAATTTTATATAATTTATTGACAAAACTTGAATTTATATAAATAAATTCTTTTTATTTCATTCTTTAATGTCAAATGGTCATGTGTCGAATGCCGGACTCCGAGAAATTAAATATATAATGGCAAGTCGTCATTAGATTATTCAAAAAAAAAAACAAAAAAAAATACCTTGACCATGGATTCCGAAAAAACTGCACCTAATAATGTTATTGAAAAGATTGATCGACCTCATATTGTCGATTTAGAAAATACTCCTAAAGGGATTATACCAGAAAGTTTTGAAAATGTTCCTCTTATTTATCCATCCGTAAATTATTTAATTTATTTTATACGAACCTTGCAACATCTTTTTCTTACGTTATTATTTGATTGGACCAATATTATTACTAGTCCAATAAATTTCTTGTTAACTTTTGTCTTTTTCCCTGTGGTTGCTATTGGTTTATTTTTACTTGAAATTATTTTACGTTTTATATCTTTCATGAAATGGGATGTTAACGATGATGAAAGTGTGATTCAATCCTGGTCAAGATTAACATCAAATTCTGAACTATGTAAGTAAATAAATATATGATAAGTTCATTCGTTAAGAATAATATAAAAAATATTAAAATTACACTTTATTATATAGTAGTGAAAAATCTTCGTTTAGGAATAAAAGCTTTAGACGAACTTCCGAATAAGTATCGTAAAGGATTTGACCTAAATGGTGCACAATTCTTATTATATCTCTCGGCCATCTTACAAGAAAGAGATGAAAAAAAAGTTACTGAAGCTTATCGTATGATATCACAATTGAAAAAATCCTTAAAAAAAGATAAAAATCCTGATGATGAACAAAAAATTCGAAAAATTTATGAAATTCTCAAAGAAAGTGAATCTGGGATACATAAACAATTAGAAGAATTTGGTATTAAATTTACTTCATTATCTGAATTGAATACTCTTGGTGGTCCTTATGCTGGAATGTTTTGGTCTGATGAAGGAAATTTTATTGTTATTGCTTTAAAAGGTAAAATATTTATTTAATGAAAATCATTTTAATCGTCTTTTCTAATTTTTTTTTTTTTTTTTTTTTTTTTAAGGAACGACACCAACGAGTTTCAATGATTGGTTGACAAATGCTACATTTCAACGTATGGATGCAAGGTCTTATTTATTTGGAGAAGTTCATGAAGGATTCTATATTCAACTTTTCCCTGCGGATGAATATGATTCAATAAGAGTTGATAGAAGGTGTCCAGCAACAAGAATTATTGACGCTGTTCGTATAAAAGCGGAATCTATTCGAAAAAGAAACAGGGATAATAACCATAAGACACCTGAAGATACACCCTTAGTAAACATATATGTTACGGGCCATTCTCTAGGTGGAGCGTTAGCAACTTTATTATATGCACGTTTAATGAAATCTCCTCAGAGTTTAGGAAAAGATTGTTTATTAAGAGATGGGACTGTATTTGCGAGTCCATCAATAGGAGATAATGATTTCTCTGCGGAATTTTCGTCATTAAGTAATAAATCCAATGACGAATACAAAACATTGTGGAGGATCGTATGTGATAATGATATTGTACCACGTGTTCCAATTGGCCATCATCATCCAAAATTCCGCAGATATACCAAGAAGATTCATATAATGAATTATTTTCACGTCGGTAATGAAGTAAGATTTTATCAAGATGGTAGTACACCTTCATCGATGAATAATATTTTTACCGATGATAAAGAATTAATATTCATAGAAAGAGGATTAAGTTGGAAGGATTGGAGAGGTTTATTTGGTTTTTATGATCCTTTCGATCATGCAAAGCATGATAAAAAAGCAACTTTTGAACGTAAACTTAATGATAAATTATATTCTTATGAAAAATTTCTGGTTGGACCATTAAGTCCCTTCAGGAATCATATGTCTCATCGTTACTTTGCAGCCTTGGAAAAAAGTAGAGAATTTTTTGATAAAGGTGATGTTAATTTTAAAGATAAACACGTTCCTGGAGAAAACATAGTATAAAAACATTTTTTAACTTTTATTATATATGTAATATATTTTTTTGTATATTTATAAAACTTTTATGTAATTAATTTTTAATTATTAATAAATATCTGACGGTTAATAGCATTTAACCCTGGTAAAATTATTTTAATTAAAAGCTTGACCGGTTAATTGACTGGTTAAGGAAAATGGAAAATAGTGAGAGAAGGTTTGTAATAAAATACATATAAAGCGATTTATAAGGAGAAGGAGTTATGATTCCTGGCCTCCCTTGGGGCTTCTATTTCCTATATTATGTCAGAGAAAAAGGTTTTATTGTATAAAGGGGAAACATACGCACATTTTTCTCCGAATTCTTCTATTTTGGTACGTTGTTATTATAATTCCCTAAAATAATTCCCTAAAATAAAGGATAAATGAATTAATGAGGTATCTTCTTACCGTTTATGGGGTAATCTTGAAAAAAAAAAGCGTAGGGGTATGAGATGTCACGTGATTTACCTTTTTTATTCCAACTTGACCGTTCTTTCAGAATATTCTAATTTGTATAACACTTGGCATGACGATTTCTATACTAATAAATAGATTTTCAATCGACAAATGAATTTTTTCCTTCTTTTATTTTAAAGTTCATTAAATGTGTTGCGCAACTGGTCGTATGACCACTTTGTGCAATGATCTACAATACATATATTTTTGGTTTCGCTTAGCTGTTAGTACTGTTCATTTTTTTTTTTTTTTATACATTCTTATGTTTTTATGTTCCTAATTTCTTGCTTTTTTGGTAAAAAAATAATAAAATTTGTAGATATGAATATTTTACTTCATGAGATGCCAAAATTAAGAGATGAACTTATAAATGTTACCGACATTAAGAATGCTTTCGTGTCAATTTCACGGTAGTAACCTGAAATTTCGTTATCGTAATTTGAAATAAGTTCGGGAATTAATAATGTATAAAGTTATTTCCCTATTCCAAATTAGGTAAGTCGGATGTGAAACATTTTTTTTTAATTTCTAATAAATTATTAGTTCAATTTTTGTAAATTGAAATATATTGAAATATATAATTGTTCATTTTCATACGTTCATTTTCATAAAATGCAGTTAACAAGAATTAAGTTAAGGAAATACGAACATGATTTAATTAATTATAACGCCCTAAAATTGCTAATTGATATCATGAAACAAGCGAAAAAAGATATAAAATATATTAAGAAGAACGTATTAAGGATATTATTCCACGACACAAAAGACACGGCGGAATAAACTTTGCAAATCAAGGCAAGGATTTTTTTCTTTTATTTGTTACGTAAAAAAAGTTTATGCTTACTCATGATAGATATTATACATAAATAATCTTATTTTTGACGTAATTTCATAGGGATTTTATAATCTTGCGATAACTTATAATTTGTATCACATGCATCAAAAAAGGGAATTGACCCAATTTCGCGCAAAATATGAACTTACATGAATCGAGTGAGACAGATTTTCGACCACTTTTGATAATATAAATGATTTAAAAGATAAATCTACGAATCTTTAAACAATTGTGTACTTTATAATTGAAGGAAATTGAATTCATTAATATATTTGAGATTAATGTATGAACTTTGATTAATATTTATATTAGCGTCCTTTCAAGGATTCATGGAGTAATGAACCGGGCAATTAGAAGCTAAAATATTTTCAGTTCTGTTGTATCATGATAAGAGAAAATTTGGAACAAAATTGCAGCAAATAAAATCATTTTTTGGATATGCTTTACACGATAGATTCTTTATTACAAATACATAATGGATGACATGTGCGTTTCTCCTAATCTAACCTAGTAAAAAGAAGAATGCGTAACGTTCTACGATAATTCTGACATTTGAAACGAAAAGTTTTAATATACAAAAAAAGTATTAACTGAATAAAGTGCGAGTACCTGGAATACACTATTGTGTAATTAAGATCTTACGCCATTTTTAAGAAAATCTTGAAATATCACGTGATCGAAAACTTTTGAACCATTCTTTTAGCGCACGTTTTTGACATAAAAATTAGATCCTAATCTCATCTTTAAAACTCCCCTTTTTTACATAATATGATTTTCTGTATTTTTCTATATTTCGTTAAGTACAATTTGTATTACCATCCGATTATAGTATTTGTCATTTATTTATGTTACGCAATGGTAAAATTTTCCTTAAAGCGTTTAAACGAAATCTGTTGTCGAAAGTTAAGATTCCGATGGATTTTTCAAATCCACCAATAGATAAAACATGTTTTAGATAAAATATAAATAATTTATTTTTATATATAAATATTTTTTATTTAAAATAACCTTTACAAATTTCTTTAAATAAGTGTATCATAAATATGAGTAGCTTCAGATATATCTAAATCCATAATTTCCCAACGGGAAGTATCATTTATAATATTTAATATTTCATAATTCTCAATTTTAACTTCCACTAATCTAATAAGTTTTAAAGAATTAAGATGTATTTTTAAAGCTATCATAACAAGATCAAATCCTACAGGACATCTATAAATTTCAAAATGTGATAAAGAATTTTGTACTTGAATTAAATTTACTAGCCCATTTACTTCTTCTAACGTAATATTTATACTATTATTAAAATCTAACCAAGAATATTGATCATATTCTATACTTATAATTATAGTTTTCAAATTTTTTGATACTTTAGCGAGAGAATTTAATAAAATTTGTTTTCTTTGTCTGCTCGTACAAATGAATTCAACCAAATTTGATAAACAATTTGAAGATCCTTCAAATATCGGTAAAATGAAATAAGATTCTGGTAATCGAGTATAATCTAATTGTTCGTCATCTATATGAGATTGAAAATCCTTATATAAATGTTTACATCGAAATTTTCCTGATTTCAATTTATTTTTTTCAACTTCAATTGAGATTGATATTAAAGAATTTTGCTTATTTCTCATTAATAATTTACATATTACAATTGCCACCCAATCATTTAATTGATCATTATTTTGTGGTTGTTTATAATTTAATATATTATTGGCAAGATATTTAAATAAAATTATTGAATCATCATTATTAGAAGATGATGAAATAATGAATGAAAGTGAAGTAGAAGGAAATCCAATCCAATTCCAAATAGGTGAAAAAAAATCTCCGAATGAAATATAATTATTATTAATTTTAGAATTTTCGGAAGCGAATTGAATCCAATCAATTATAGCGTTATGTAATTCTTCAAAATCAATATATTTTAAAAATTGTATATAATTAAATATTGGTCGTTTATAATTTGGTCTATCATTATCTTGTCTTTGTTGTAAAATATATGATTCATTAATTCTTAATTCTTCGTTAAACATAAAACATGATAAATATGTTTCAAGTAAATTATAAGCTTGAAATTGTCTTTTTATAGCTTTTTCATTATTACATTGACAAATTTCTTTTTTACATGTATAAAGAAATCGAAAAGGTTGTTTCCATAAAATATCGATTGTATTTTTACACCAATGTCGATTTACTAATAAACATGAATGTAAATCTTCTTTATCTTCTTTAAGTTCTTCAAATATTTGACGTAAACATTCTGCGGGCAAATACGTTGTCATCTCGGTAAAATTTTTTAAATGAAAAAAAAAAAAAGAATTTGTGATGGCTTTTTTTTTATGACTAATTTTTTTTTTTTTTTTTTTTTTAATTAAAAAATTTTTATTATATATATTATTTATTTTTCGAAAAAAAAATAAACATATTTATACATTTTTTTTTTATATTTAATATCGGAAATATCATATACGGTCAAAACCATATATCCTTTTTTGAAAATTCCGTAAAAATAAAAAAAGCCCCAGTTTTATTGTTCTTATTTTTTTTTAAGCCCTTTTTCCGAAAAAAAATATATATAAGCCATTTTGATGCAACCGTATAAGCCCACTAAAAAAAATATAAGCCACAATCAACCTTGAATAGGAATTTCATTGCACCAATTAAAATTTTTCCGTATCAGGTGTATCAGGTGTATCATGTGTCAAATTTTTCTATTTAAAATTTTTTTTTTAAAGTAAAATTAAAAAATAATTATTATGTAATCATCGGAATATCATGGGATTTGAAAAATTTTTACTGCGGTTCCTCCTCTTAGAATTGTGCAGCGGCTTATATAAGTTATAACGTGATCTCTCAAAAAATATCTATATATAGGGGTACATGGTTTACTAAGTCGCCATAATGGTTTTTTTTCTTGCGAAAGAAAAAAAAATGAAAAGTACCCAACGTGCAATTTCGTACGTATTTTGTGGCGCAGTAATTTGAAATTTAATATTAAATGACATAATACTTTCAGCAATTTTATTAAAAAAATTCTTGCACAATTAATAATTGGATGAAGACAACAATTGTATATACAGGTAGAAGTTGAACACAAACACAAATTTCTATTACTGATACTGATTCAATACCATAATTGTTATAAACTTAAAATAATGTAAAAGTAACATAGATCTTAACTATTAAGAAGCCTACTGACAAGCTAGAACTTGAATCAATAAAAAAGCATTAGTGAAAATAATACAGTATATCCTGCTATACTCAAAAGTGTTACTATTAATTAAATTGTAAATTAATCAATGGCAATCCTACTCTTGCATTTACTATTCTGGCATATAATTATTTATTGGATAAAATTGAAGATATCATTGGTAATGAAAATATAAGGATTGAAATTAAAAATGCTGCAACTGCAGTAAAAAATAAAATTGAAGAATATTATACTACTACTGGTGGACACATTTATATAATTGCTACAGGTTAATTGAATTATCAAATATGCATCAAAACTTAAATCACCTAATGTTAATAGATCAAGACAACAGAAATTACCTTTTATTTACCAAAATCTGTCAGACTATGCAAAAAATTATATTTAACTAATAATGTACCTGAAATTCAATTAGTAAAATTAACAAGGAAAAATAATATAAATTTTCCCAATTCTAAAATATGAGAAAAATGAACTTTATTTCAAAGATAATGATAGCTATACTAGAAGTACTCAAGTATTGATTTATATCTCTATCTAATTCAGAGTTTGTTGAAAGGAATTCAAGTAAATGGTAACTGTTTAAATCAGTTGTAATGGAATATTTTGATAAATATATATTGAGTAAAATATTAGTCAGACATTCACATACAGTAAATACCAGTGTATTTCAAAAAGTTATATACAAAATTGTTATGCCATCAAAAAAAATAGTTTATGAAATTAACATCCAAAAATACCATTCTTAATATATATGGTCAAAGAATATCAACCCTTCAAAGCTGAGGAAAACTAAGTAAATTATGGAAATGGTTTACAGTAATTGGCTCTTAAATCAAAAAATTATGATCCACAACAATTCCAATTTGAAGCTGAAGATAACTAAGTAAAGATTTTAAAATCCTTAATATACTGAAAACTATTCTAAAAAAAAATAGAACAGAATGCAAACTATTTATTTACATTCTTAAATAGTAAGAGCCTGAATTATCCTACTTTTATGGAGGCAATTAAAAACTGATCACTGGTTAGAAGATTTACCTCTTATAATGCAAATAGAATACAAATACTTGCAAATTAGAAGTTGCACTGACATATCTAAAAGGAGTCACATCATCCTTTTAGAATTCCAAAATAATTATGTATAAAAGATTTATTAAGCAAAAAAGATTTCAAACAATAATTTATCAAGATTCAAGATTTTTATACTATCTAAATAAATTTTTTTATTTCCAGATAGCCCTAAAATACTTTGAATAATTTATGCGATTTATGCATAATATTATACAAAGATAATGTTTAAACCAAATAGAATATTTTGACTTATATAATACTTTAGAATGCATTAAAATACATAATTACTAAGAGTGGAGAAGTTGATAAAAGAATAAAAAATAACAAGAAAGTTCAAATCAAACAATAATTATTAATTTTTCTGATGCACAAAATATAGCATTAATAGGTCCAACAGATGGTTACCAAATTTTCAAACAGAAAACAGTTCATTAATGCTAATCTATCCAGATGTTATTTATGTCAGCCATATGTAAAAAAAATCATAAGGATAAATAAAAATAATTTCAGAATGAGGCTTAATTATTATTATTGCTATTGATTATTATTTAAATTTTAATTTGGTAATTATGTCTGGAATAGTTCATTATATCAGAGTCAATCTGATAATATAAGTGTAATCATTTGAGAAATTTAGCAACTATTAGACGTTTTTTTGATCTGGTGAATTGCATCTTAGGGCAGGTAAAAGTGTGCCAGATTGCTTACATAGCAAGTGACAGACCTTCCTTTCACAGCACTAAACTAGGTAGTGAAGTTTATTAAAAATATGCTAAGCGTCTAATCAAAAAATGATGTGCTTTAATATATAGTATAATAACCAATTTGAATCATAGTAAAAAATATCACCATTACTCTTTTGGTCTTTCTCATAATAAGAACCAACATATATTACAGACCCTATAAAATAAATCAAAATCCTATAGGTATTTCTACATTACTTATCTATTATTTACAAATACAAATCTCAACCAAATTAGATTAACAACATCCATTAAGTCACAGAAGTTGATTAATAACATCATTGAAGAATTATACATGGCAATAAAACCATCAAGAAAACTTAGAGAAGCTATGTCTATAATGGTCAATAACTCTTTAATGATCAACAACCATTTAATGAATATTCAGTTATTGAAAATTAACTTCAAAAATTTGTGTTTTACTCTCAATCATAAATACAAGTTACCTGTTTCAAAACTTTTTTAATGAAAAGAAAGTAATTACTTATAATACTTTGGCTTTATTGGAACAGAAAATATCAATAATAACAACTGATTCGTGGACAAGTATTAACTCAAGAAGATGGATGAAACAGAATAAGAAAAATATTCATCCAATTCCAAATGAGGAAAATTTTGAAATTGCAATTGATTCTTCTGTTTAATTATTAGAATGATAAACTATCAAGTAAAAGATGATTCTTCCTTCCAATATTTGATAACTTTAAAAGTCACTCTAAACTCTTATCCTTAAAACTTTTCAGATGGTTTTTACAACAAAAGTGTATCATTGAAGGGACAAAACTATATTGAATTAAAGATATTTCTAATTATACTTACAAATACAAAACTAATATAATACTATTAATTTATAAGACTAAAAAGAGAAATCAAACATGAGATGGTAGCAAATTTTCTTAAGGAAAATTGATTAATTCCTAATTCCTAATCCAATAAAGCTTGTATTTTGTAAATAAAGAACATACAAACAATTATACTGCTGGTTTGTTGACATTATTATTTTATACTCAAAATGTGGAAAATGTGAAATCTGAAAAATTTAGATACATATTATATAAGAAATATAAGGATAAATGAAAAACATTTGTTTAAAAACATATAGAGGTAATATTACAATATAGTAAAAATTCAAGTCACTTATCACTATTACATACTCAATGATTGAGCAAAGAATCTCAGCTCTAAATATTTGCATAGTTATTATTAGAATGAGAAATGAAAATAAAGAACATATGAACAATTATTTTCAAACAACTGCTGAATTGGTGACATTATTATTTATGCTCAAAATGTGGAAAATGTGAAATCTAAAAAATTTAGATACATATTATATCAGAAAAATAATCAGAAAAATGATTAAAGTTGTATAGAGGTGATATTACAATATAATAAAAAGTTGTCACTTATCACTATTACATATTCAATGATTAGAACAAAGAATCTCAGCTCCAAATATTTGCATATTTATTATTAGAATGAGAAATATACTTCCAAAAGGAAAGGATATTGATTGGTTAAAAGGGAAGAATGAACACTTAGTAAAGAAAATGAATAAAAAAACTGTCTTTTGTGACTGTCATTTGCAGGAAAAAGAAAACACTTTTTTAAATATACTAAATAATATTATTATTGTAAAAATAAAAATATCAAATCTTTCTTATTTAAGAAACTTATCATGTAAAAAAAAAAGAAAAACAATTTACTTTTTAAAAACTTGTCATGCTAAAAAAAAAAAAAAAAAAATTTGGGAAGTTTAAATAGTAAAAGGTTGGAAGTGTTAAACTATATTTGCAGGCTAAGTGTATTTTAAGGGATTATGGTATTGAGATTAAAGAGGAGTATACTGACATGAGACATAAATTTGCTAGTTCAAATTCCCTATGGCATATTGATAGCAACCATAATGGAAATTTATAATATATGGAGACATTGATGACCATTCAAGACTACCATATTATTCCATCATTATGATAGTGGTAAATTATTGTTTATAAATTAAACCCAGCTTCCAGCTAACATTAAAGACATTGATCTAGCCCCACTTGTCAGACAATTGAATGCTAAAGCTGTTAATGTTCCATTATCTTCAACTAAAGATAGGCTTATGTCACCTTTGGTTCTCAAGAATTATTTGATGCTGTGATGGTATAAACTATTGCCCTTCAAAATCATAATTTGAATGGGACTTTTCTGCTAACACCACCAAGCTTTAGAGGTCATTTATGTAATAAAAATATTAAATCATGAAGTAGAATGAGAGGTTAAGTCCTCATTTAGTTAGTAGTAATAGTCAAATTTATATTCATTGTCATACAAACTAATGAATTGACTGAAAAGATTATTGTGCATATAATTGGATATACTAGATCCATCTAAAAACAATTGATCTGAATAATTAAGAAATGTTCAATATATAGTATTATTAATATTAAGATTAATGCAAATTGGTTCCAGAATTATGAAAATCACTTGCACCAAGTTTTCAACTATCCAATAGGCAAATAACAAGGTGGTTAACTACACTGATCAATTCAAAAATATTTCTAGTTATAAATTTGTTTTCCTTTCTTGATGAAAGTAATAATCATTTAATTTATCATTAATTATATAATTTATAAACTTTCAATTCACTTTAAATCAGTTGAGATTTTAAATACCCTATTACACAATAATATATATATAATTATGCTTTTGGAAGGTTAAAAGCAAGATTTGGAATGTTAAGAAATCTTGATATTAAAACAGTTAAAATGGAAATTTTATTACATGCTATGCAATTATTTTGCATATTTTTTTGGAAATGAATATGGATACTTGGGAAGTTAATTGTAATATGGATGATACAGAAGATATATATTCATGCCTATAAATTAAACAAACAGATATAATTAAACATTATAATATTACTAACAATAACACCTTTTCCAACACTACCTTTATAAGTGTAATCTACATTATTTAGAAACTTATTGTAAAAAGTAATTAGAATAGAGAGTCTTTATCACCAAATTCAACCTAAAATCAGACATCCAATTTCATGCTGATTTGGACTATTTCGACCAGTAATCTGCTATATATATTATTTTCCACATTATTTGAATGTAATTTAACTTTATTAATAACAGTCACAAAATGATTATTCTCAAGAGCAAAACCTTAACTACAAATAACTTAGATCAATTTGTTAGAGTAACAAATAATGATAATGACTTAATTTTACAACAACAATCTTTAGAGAATACTATGCATATACTCACTTCAACACAAATTGCTACTAAAAACATCAATGATTTAGAAAATAGTATTAGTCAATGGAAACAAAAAGAAGAACCAAATTTGAAGTGAATGTAGATAGAGATATAGAGCAATGATAGCAGTGGATACAATATGGAGATACCTTGCTCTATTTTATAACAATAAATATAGGTCATTTCAAAGAATTTAAAATAATAAATAAAATGGCTGTTTAACATTTAGAACAATTTATGAATATTATAAGGAAAGAATCTGATATTACCATAGTTTATCAAAGTTTTATGGTAAGTAGTTGCTTATAGTAGATATGTTTGAAGGAATGAGATTACTAAAGTAATTATTATAAGTTTTATAAAAAAATTTTCAATAATGAAGTAACTATCTTTAATGCAAAACTATATATTTACTGGCAGTGACAAGTTGTTCAGTTGGAAGAGAATAATGTGGAGTTGAATAAAGATAATGTTCAATGCTGCTTCTAGAAGAATGGCAAATGAAGAGAGTCTTACCAAACGATTTCATTCTTAGTGCAGAATACTAAAAGGACTTAGAGTGGCTGGGCATATTAAGAGCAATCTGAGACTGGTGTCCCATCAAACTCTGATCAATAAAGGATCAGTACTAGAGTGGTATAAATCAAAAATTACAAAACATTATTTCATAGCAGTAGTACTTGTTAAAATAGTGTTGATCAAGTCGAATGCATAATATCAGATTACATATCAAAAGAAAAAAGTTTTAAAGTTATTAGGTTAATAAACATACTACCTTTTAAAGAATATTACTTTTAAAGCATTTATATGACATTAATATTAATTTATGGTAACACCACTTATCCATACTGTTTGTTTTTAAGCTTAATAAATCCACAACATTTGAAGATTATTAATCATAATGGGAATGAACCTTATAACTATTATGAGAATGTAGACTGGAAATAATGTGAAGATCTTTTTTTCATATCCATTTTGCAAATACAAGTTAGAGATAAATAAGAATCCTTCACATATATAGCAATTATTATCCATTATTTTACATTCAGACACAACAAAAAGAAACTGAAATTTCTGATCTTCAGATACAGCACTATGAATTTTAAAAAGCTGATAAGACAGCTGATGATTGAATAATTGCCAAATTAAACAAAACTGAGCAGGAGAACAAAAACCTACTAAAGTGAATAGCTGCAGGAGCAAGAAGTGAATGGCAATGACTTTCTGGAAACATGCAAGAAAAAGTTTATAGCATTTGGGATTCCTGGTGGGCCTGCAAGATGACTATCAAACTTCATCAAAGATATCAATAATAATGGTAAGATAAATAAATAAGAATCCTTCATATATATAGCAATTATTATCCATTATTCTACATTCAGGCACAATAACTCCAATAATCTTACAGTAATAAAATAAAATTATAATAATTTATCTTAGAGCTGAACAATATTCAGAAACTTCCAAAATATGCATAGTTAATTTTCAGAAGCTTCTAAAATACATATGGTTAATTCTCAACTTTTAATGGTATTATTAAATATTATATACTAGCAAACCTTTCTCTTTTAAAACAAAAAAAAGCCTTAATTAATCTTGATATATTAAGAATGTATTGTTAAATCCTAAAGGGATTATTATCAAGATCTTAGAATATCCAATTTTTCTAACAAAAGTTAAAAATTAAAGTTCTTTTAGGATTCTTATCTATTCTTCTATTAATTTATTTGATTTTAATAGATTATTTACAAAATTAACAAAACATATAAATTTTGTATTAGAAGATACTCTTGTTAACAAAGATGTATAAAAGAAAAATTCCAAAAAAAATGATAAATGGACCTTCATAGATAAAATCTTTATACAACTGGTTATCTGTTAGCTAAGTCCATATCATATATTTACTACATAGTAAACAAAGTAAAGGGACTTATATTATAGATGTAATTGTGCCTTTACTTTAGGCTAGCTTGAGGCTCTACCAAATAGTAATATCTGTTTAAGTACAGCAGAACGTCAGAGCATTGCAAGCAAGGCATGAAAAAGCTTTGGAAAAGATAAAAATCAAGTGGGCAGGAATTATAAAAATTAATCTGTATGCAATTGAAAACCTTTACTTTCACAAGAGATTTTAGCATCCCTTCATAAAGCAAATTGTGAAAATTTTGGCAATGAAGTATTTATGAATACATTAAATAAAAAAGAAAGCTATAACATCAAGAATTATTTATTAGAAATTCTAAAAGAATAATGGCAATAATAATGGTCAAACTCAAACTTGACAACTATTGTAAACCTAAGAATATTGTTAAAATGAAAAATATAAGATATCTAGTAGAAAACTAAAAAATAATTAATAATCAAAATATTGTTACGATGAAAAACAATGCGACAAAGTCACGTGATATAACCGATGATCAATGGTAATTACCGGGACGATTAGATGGGTCAGGCTGATACTCCCAATTCGCACAATGTGTGATTGTATGATCAACGTCATATAGCGGGAAGATTAATGTTCGAAATGTTTAATATATCAAATATATTAAATATATTGCATATATTGCACATATGGTATATATGGCATATATTAAACATTTTAAACATTTTTAGTTTAGTGTTTTTACTTATAAATAGACGCGATGTTTTTCGATGTAATTAGATAGGTATCCAAGTCAATAAGATATTTACCGATATTAAATAAAAACATATTTTATTATTTATAATATCTTTGGTTATCTCATTGTTTATTTTATAGTTTGTTATAATTGTGAGTCAATATTGCGTCTGAGTGTATATNCTGTCTCTTATACACATCTAGATGTGTATAAGAGACAGGTTTTATTGTGTAACCTTCGACAGTGATACATTTACTAATATTTACATATAGTTATTTTCACTTTGCGTTCATTAATATTATTTAACATTTATTTTATTCAATTATCCTTCTGCTTACCATACACCCATACGCTTATTTTTATAAGCATACAAGAACTGGCTTAACAATATTAGTGTTTTAAATTAAACCAGAACTATTCCACTTTGCAAGGTTATTTTCTTCACTTTATTAGAATTACATAATATTATAAAAATAAAGAAATTATCCAATAAGAAAAAAAAATATTGTCACTCAATTTTTCTTTAATATATACAACAAAATCCTACTATTGTAACGACAACTTCTGCCACTTTGAATGTTACAAGTTTTGTTTGTTTCATATAATCATAAAAATTTATACTTTAATAAAAAGTTTATTTTTTATTGTGTAAGAATATGTCATTATAACAAGTTGTTCATTAAAGATAAAGTTTATAATCATAAAATTTGTAAAAATATTGCAAAATAATTATTAAAATTAAAAGAACTATTGAAGGTAAAAGAGTTTTAAAAGTTGGAAGTAAAAGAACTTAAAAGAACTAATACTAAGTCAAAAAGTTGTGGTTTATATAATTTCCATGTTGATTTTTTTGATTAATTAAACAATTATGACTCATTATTTATCATTATTATTAAAATGATCTTTACTTCCAATCTAATTACTTCAGACTATTAATATTACACAAAATATGAATGATCTCTTTAATTCTGAAATACTCAATTATTTAAACTTAAAATTAATTCTATGTTTATGGCATTACAAACTTTCCTCCTCCTTAAAATTTGTGTCCTTATAAATTTTTAATTATAGAACTTTGCACTACAATATTCAAAAGGCTAAACATATCTTAAATTATAATATTTATTTATCACACATTCCTAATAATTTTAGTAAATTACGATATTTATGTCTACTAAATTCAAACTATTATTTTACCCCTTAAATTAAATTTTTGTGTATTATTAAAATAAATCACTAATTTTAACAAATCATAATTTTAATGTTTTACAGAAATAATTTGTTTTTATCTCCTTAAATTAATTAATGTGTATTACTATTTTAATACGTCCTCTCTTTGTTTTAAAAATAACTTTTCTTTTTTTTTCATAAATTTTCACATGGGTTTTTCATCAAATCTTTTTGTGATAATTTTATTTTGTTTAATTTTTAATGCGTTTTTCAAGTCACATTTTTTTCTCTTTATAAGGCCTCACTTTTTCCTTTTTTTCTCTCTTTACTCTTTAATCATCATAAAAACTTTCTATATAACTTTCATAATATTTCATTATGACTTCTTGCCATTCAGCTTCATCCAACAAAAAGTTTTAGATTCATTATACAGCTCTAAAAACTTCACACAAAACAAAAAAGTTCATCTTAAGGGTGGGTATTGTACATAAGGTTCTTAAGATGTCTCTTTGATGGGTTTAACTGTAGATGAAGTTTTAAACTTATATTCTGTTCTTTAAATGGTTAATTTTTTGGCCTGTAGACAGGATATTCATACCTCTAGGACTAGTCTTAAATCACACTATTGACTTTATTTAGTTTTTAACTAATTGATAATATGAATTTTCCTCTCCTTTTTCTTTTCTCTTTTAACAGAACAATTAGAAACTATTCAAAATAAATTATCCTTGACTCAGCAAGAACTAAGTAAAGCGAAAGAATAGAATAATTCTCTTCTGAAAGGAAATCTTCAATATTTGAATGCATATTAGAAATTAGAGGATCAAATCAAAGAGATGGAAGAGAAAATTAAAATTTTTGAACAAGAATAAGTTGAGTTTCAAAGTACAATATCAGATCTTCACTCCACCAAATTAAATCTTGGATAATTACTCCTTAACCTTAAAGGTATATACTATATAATTGTTCATTCTTATTTTCTAATATTAAATTTCTGATTAAAAAAATTTTTTTTTTTTTTTTTTTAGAAGAAAATCTCAATCAAAAAATCTTCAATAACTCCATTTTTCTTCTTTTTGATTATAATATTTTAATAAAATTTTAATATTTCTAACAAATTATACTTGCTTTAATCAATTAAGATATTTATTGCTGTTTTCTAATTACTGTGATCTAGCATTATTTAATAAAAAAAAAAATTTTTGAGAAAATATGTGAAAATAAAAATTTTATTGTATTTTCAAATAAAGGAGGTATGATTATAAGCTGAAAATTACAATTTTAAGAAAAAACTTTCAATTTTTAAATAAGTTTACTTATAAGTAACTTTTTAAATTTTGTGTAACAAATCGTTTTTTAAAAAGTTATTTATAAGCAAACTTATTTAAAGATTGAAAATTTTTTCTTAAAATTATAATTTTAGCTTATAATCAAACCTCCTTTATTTGAAAATGCAATAAAATTTTTATTTTCACATATTTTCTCAAAAAATTTTTTTTTTTTATTAAATAATGTTAGATCACAGTAATTAGAAAACAGCAATAATTAAGTTTTCTCATAAAATACTTTTTTAGTAATTCTCCATTTATAAATTAGATGGAAAAATATTGAGAAACCCCATAAGATCTCATGTATCAAATATGGTCCTGACCATTTATTGTCTAATTTACTTGATTTAAAATTTTGCCATGCTGCATTGTATCCCAATATTTCATTTCCTATTTTAAATTCTTCTTTTCTTTTCTTTTTGCTATCATAATATTCTTTCTATCTCATCTGAAATCTTAAAATTTCTTCTTTTGCTATATTTCTTTGAAAGGTATCTTCCATATACTAAATAAAATGGTTTAACCTTTGTAGAAAATGGGTTTTGTTTTTATATGTAAATAATACCAAAGGTATTTTATCATCCCATTGTTTATCTTCTTGTAATTTAGCTAATGATTCACATAGTGTTTTATTAAACCTTTCTACTAATCCATTAGTTTGAGGATGATAATTCATTGATAAATTATGCTTTATTTCAAACTTTATAGTTAATAATTCCACCATTTTATTGCAAAAATGTTTTTCTCTATCACTGTAGATAAATGTATAATTTTGCAATACATTTTAGAGGACTTATTTTAGTGTTAGTGATGAAGAAATAATTATTTCAATCAAATTTTAAATTAAAGTGTTAAAGAATTGATATGACACAATTGACACATGCCTTTATACCAGTAATTTTTTCTTTTTGCTCTCCTATTATTTTTTCATTCCCACCTCCTTGGCATTGTTAAACTTATACATAGAAGAGCAAATCAAAGAAAAGTAGAACAATTTTAATGAACTTTTTTTAAAATTGTAGAACTCAATTGTATATCAATTATTGGTGAGTTAAGTTTAGATTGTAATGTTCTTATATATAATATTCAAAAATTTCAATCAAAAAAAAATATATGGGAGGAATTTTTCCCTAGTAAATAAACAATTTTAAACATCACTTTAGAATTAAAGAATTATTTAAAAATGAATTTAATGAACAAACTATTAAATATATAGATTTATATAACAATAATGTTATTTTTCTTAATATTATAACAACTTTTAACACTATTATCATTCCTAATGATACTTTACTGAAATTAATTCCAACAAACTGTTGGAGTTTTAGCATACATTAAATATGTTATTAAAAAAATTATATAAATCAACAATATCAGAAGATCGGGAAAGTGCTAGTACGGCGAGTTATGTGTGGAAATATTTTATAAAAGATGTTAATTATAAACAAAACAAAAAAGCAAAGTGTAATCATCTCCTTCTACTCCGAGCATTATCAGCTTGTTGCTGAAAACGAAATTCTGCTGAATGAGATCCATGAGATACAGCAACTTGAAAAAAAAGAACCAATTGTGGAGTTATTTGCTCATGTACTTAAGTTATTTATGCTAATTATCTATTTTTTGAAAAAAAAAGAAAAAAATTTCTAACTTTACTGAAATATTCAAATTTAAATTAACAACATCGTTATGAGACCAGAGATGGATAGTCAATATTTCAACTAAATGATAGTTATGATAACTTCAATAGTATGATTCTCATATAGCAAATATAGATATTGTATGACAACCTGGTTTTTGGGGCTGAGTTTAATGAATACAAAGTTGAAATGTATTGGCAATAGTAAAGATTAACAAAACAATAAACTATTAATTGCCATCATAAATCAAAATATTAGAGGAACAAGAGACAAACGATTTTTTTGCTCAAGAATTTGTTAGACTCTTATTTAAATATCGTGTTTATTTACTTTTATTGCTTGATTATATTTTCTGGCGCTTTTGTGGTTGAAATTTAAATGTACGGAACATAATATGTTCCATACTACCTTACATCAGTTATTCCCAAAGGAAAAAGTGAAGGGAAGTGAAGCGAGAAAGAAGGTGCCAAAGAAAATAGGGAAGGGACTATTTAATTCTGGGATATGATTTACATAGGTCACATGGTTGTCCTATTTGCGAGTGATTCAGAAGCTAACAAAAATAAAACACACCAAGTCATTTTAATGAAGTATATTCAAATATAAATATTAAAAGGAGTACTTATGTTACAATTTTGTACACACATACAGAAACGTAGTTAATGGTCGTTTTCGGGTATTGAAATAAATGAAAATACTCTTGCGAAATTTTTCTAAAAAAAATTGATGAACAAGCGTCTAACGAATGACCCTATAAAAAATTTTTATCCAAATATTTCCATTATTTCTCCGTGGCTTTCGTAAAAATTCCGTGAAAATGATACATCCCGGATATCCGTCGTCAGAGAGATGAAAATTTCCATGATTTAAGTCCATGAAAAAATGATACATTCACGGAAAAAACATGGAAATATGAAACACCGACGGATCAACATTTTTTACAGTGAGAACTGCAATGACGATAAAAATATAAAGCTACTAATTTTATATATATATTTTTTATTGTATAAATTTTTTGCTGTAATAAAAGTTCTTATTGTCAATCTAATTCATATGATTTTATAATATTTATATTACGTTATTAACTTATTATGTTGTATATATAAACGAAAAAAAGGAGATTATTCGTTTGCTTAGTATAACTTTTATCACGAAGGACTTCATAGTAGTTTCACTGAAAGTAGGAGTTATAAAGTGAATATAATAATATAAATTATTGTGCTCCGACTGATCAAAAATAATCGCTTTAATTAAGCGGTCACACGTTATTGTGCCAATTCTAGCATCCTGATTGGACAGATTTGGCTACACGTGACCAAATCTTTACCAATCATCTGCTATCATTGGTTAATAATTGTGATATTAATCGTTGCAAAGCACAATAACTTATAAATAACATTTACGACAAATATTGTCGGTCAATGTGAAATCATTTATCATCGTCAATATTATTTCACATATAAACATGAAATCATTGTTTAGTATATTAGTAAAAATATATAAAAAGATTACGTATAACGAATTATCAATATATTACTATACGCAACACAAAAACTTAATAGAATTTTTTTTTATGATACTGTAAATGGAATTTTAGATGCAATCTATATGTAAGGAGTAATAAATTTCTTCAGGAGAGATTGAAGGGATACGTTATACTATTTCTAATCTTACTGATCTTACTGATGATCTATATTATCTATTTTATCCTTTTGTTTTCTGTATTTAGACCAATGATACAATGTCTGATAAATAAAACTGCGGTTCCTTATTATTAGTTTAGATATTAAATGAAACCAAAAATAGATTATTTTCTGTAAAGAATAATTCGTGCATAGATGAATATCCTATGTTATATATAATAATTTTAGGTTATACGTACAATACAACATATTATTGCGGTATTATAACAAAATGGCTAAAAGGCGTTCATTTTTATAAAATCATTTAAAAATTATTTATGTTTTAAAATGAATATAAATTCTAACATCCTTTTTTTTTTACAAGTATTATTTTTGAGTCATTATTTCAAATAAAAACAATTAATTATCATACTGTAGCCTCTTTTCCCTTAATATGCAAGCCAAGTCAATAAATAAACACAAAACTATTGTACAATCAAAGTTCATCATGATAAAATCACGTTTCCAGTCTTTTAAATTCTCTATATCGAGTGAAATTTATAATTCACTGTTAGTAATTAACCATATAAGCATAACAAGACTAAAAATTTGCGTTATCTATACGATGAATAATCATAATAAAATTATATATATTGAAAATACTAACAATATTGTAGAACTTTATGTCGCATATTGAATTATGAAATATTTGAAAGTATTAGGCATTAAAATTTTAAAGTTTATTAATAATCATGAAACTAAAACATATTTCTTTTGAATGGCAATAATATGTTAATTTTTAAGGCTAAATGCGGGAAAGGAGGAGATGAAACAATTGAAACATGGTCACATGGATAATACACGAAATATAAAACGCAGTTATAATCCGAATATTATTAACTAAATATATGACTTGTGACTTTAAATTCAGCATGTAGATCAAAAGCCTGATCGGGATCAGATATTTTCTTTGTGATAAGTTTAGCGCATGCTTAACAAAATTTTGTGTTACATCCTGATATGGTTAATTAAGTCTAAATTTAATTATTTTTTACTTTTATAGTTTTGATTTTAGGTTAGGGTTGAAGCATTGTTTCAAGTTAAGTACGCACATGTACGCATTACAGTCATTACGTGTATACATAGTGCATTTAACCATTTAATATAATTTATATAATTTTGTAATAGTAATACAATCAAAGGTGGTTACGAAATACAAATGATATCACGATGTCTTTTTATGGGAAACTGGAGGCAAAATTTATAAATTTTTTAGTGAATTCTTTCGATTCAAAAAACGACTAACGAAAATAAGCCAATCCCGCATAAACAAGAAATTCTTGTTTATATGCATTATTAAGTATAGTTTGACATCCATTGCATATAATAGAAAGATGTTTGTTAATTAGATAATGGAAGAGAAAATAATGTATATTTGAAACTGCGGATATTTTTTTCATTCAAAATTTTTCTATAAATATGAATTTATTGAAAACGAAGAATAAAACCTTAATAAAAATTTTTTCTTCTTCATTTTCTTCTTTATTAATTAAAATTCTTTACAATCCATTTTACTTTCTTTTTCACAAAAATCCAAATCCATTTATTATAAAAAAAAAAATTATTTTCGCGGATTGTATATAAACACCTATATTGTATTCAACGAAAATGCAACGTCTTCCTCCAGCTGGATGGTCACGTCACCATTTAGTTTATCCTCATCGATGTTTTTATTGTTCACCTAATTCAAATCCATCTGAATATACACGCCCAATTTCTCGCTTATCAGAACCACCAATCCCAATGCCCGAACCTTTTCATTTTCCTGATACAACAAATAATTTCACCAAAAATTTAAGAAAATATCATTCTAATGATCGTTGCCATTGTCATTTTGCTAATTATAATAATATTCGTGCATCTGTAAACGATAGCATAATAGCTGTATCTCCTGTTAGTGATCGCGAATCTATTTCGATAACTATAAACGATGAAAAATCTGAAAAAGGAATCAAAATTAAACGAAAAAAATCCCCAATGGATAATCCTCCTTGGTGGAGACGAGTTTATTGGATTTTTTTAACGATATTAAATTTTTACGCTCTTATAGGAAGCATTGCTTTAATTGTCAATTTATGCCTTAAGACTAATCCATTCGGGGTAATATATCTCGTACACTTAAATTTGTCAATTAGTACATTAAAAAGTTAATGCTTTAACTGCTCCATTTTCCTTCTTTACAGTCTTATCAAAATGTCGTCTCAAATTACGTATTCATCATAATTACAACTTTAGAATTGGCTCCTTGTGCAGCAAATATATATCAAATCCATCAATGCAGTAAAGGTAAACTTAGACTTTGTGAAGTTCTCGCTATAATTATAGGTGAGTTTCTATTTGATATATATATATTTCATTAAAAAATCGTATAATTTTAATTAATTCGTTTAATAAATAATAGGCAAAAAAGAATTATATTTTTTATATGGAAAAACACATTTAACACAAAAACAAATTAATAAAATGGAGCATATGACAGACGCACTTTGTTTTATTTATTGGATATTTTTAAGTTATCAAATTGCTCTTGAAATACAAAAAAATATGGGTCATTCAGTTGAATTTATTATATTAAATGATAGAGTAAGATTATTAATATTTACTTTATTATTAGCAGCTACTTTATCAATATTAAGAATTCTTTGGACTTTATTAAAAAAATGTGTTTATTTTGTTGATAAATTAGATTATTAAAAATATTTATCAAAATGATAATTTGTATTATAAGGTTTTTTTTTTTTTTTGTACATTTTATAAAAATACAATAATACGAAGTTTTACATTTATTGTAATAATGTAATAACGATAATGGTAAATCAGTTGTCACCTGTCAGTATAATACAGTATTATATGTATTTATTAAGATAGATAATTAAGGATTCATTATTTTAACGAATTTATCGAATTAATTTATTTTAAAAAATTTTATTCGAATATTTCATGTGCTGGATACATGGCGAAGATATATTTCATACATTTAATACATTTCTAATATTAAATAAACGGTTTTAACGGATTAAATAAAACAAAGAAATATCAAATATCTAATATTTTCTAATCAAAATCTTGGAAATTCATTGTAAGTTTACCGGATTTGTAAACTTTATGAAATTTATGGTCAATACATAAAAAGTAACCACATGGACTCATGGACTTTATAAATTACGGACGGAATCGAAAATCAATTGATGATCATTTACATAATTCTTTGCCTATTTTGTTACAGTGATAATCATCATATGTCGGAGTAAATTAGTTTATTCAAACAATCATTGACAATAATCGGAATACAATTTAGTTTAAGCTTAATTTAGAAATACAGAGTTACCAATAGAGATATCAATACTGGTAATTTAATACAGAATGCAGATATGCACATTGCGTATGTTAAATTCCTGGTAACGTTTCAACGTGGAAGGTATGGAAGGTGTGTGGAGAATATCTATTTTATAAATGTAAATGTTTATGGTAGATCTCCAGTATATGGTGTGATACTCGAAGTTTGTTCTATTTCTGTGACACATCAATAAGCAGGGCTGACAACTGGTTAAACAAGTATTTATATGGCAGTAAAACCTCATTTTTTTTTCTCAATCATTAAAAATATTTTTTCTTCGTTCTCGACGACTTTTAATCATTAAAAATAGTTTTATTTTATTCCAAACGACTTTTAATTACTAAAAATATTTTTACAATATGAAAGGAGCACCACCAAGATATGCTCATTCACAGATTGAACTTAAAATTTCTTGCGAAAAATTATCGGATTTGGATTATCTTTCTAAAAGTGATCCACAAGTTATATTATTAGCTAAAGATATTCGTACTCAAAAATGGAGACCAACAAACCAACAAACTGAAATTATTATGAATGATTTAAATCCAAAATTCGTAACATCTTTTATCGTTGATTATTTCTTTGAAGAGTTACAACAATTCAGGTATATTAAAGAGATTTTAATTCTATAATTATTATTATTATTATTTATTAATTTAATTTTTTATTTGTTCAGATTTATTTGTGTAGACGTTGATAAACCACATAATCCTGAGTGGCAGGCTCAAGAATTTGTCGGCCAATTTGATTGTGATCTCGGTTCTATAGGTAAACTATTTTTTTAAAAAATGTTTTTTGATCTTATAAAATTTAACATGATTTTCTTTGGTCTGTGTAGTCGGTTCTCCAGGCGGTACGTTGAAAGGAACATTTTACGATCCAAACCATCCAGGTAAAGACCGAGGACACATAATTATAGAAGCTGAAGAGGTTAGCAAGTCAAAAAGAAACGTAAAGTATGTATTTATTTTTGCTTTGCGTTTTTATCATTTGTATTATCTGATTCATTTATTTTATTCATAATTTCTTTTTTTAAAAAAAATATTAGATTACAATTTCAAGCTCATAATATATCTCCAAAAGTAAGATAGGATTTAATTTTGATTAATCTTAATTTAAATATGATTTAAATTCAAATATTTTCTTAAATATTTTTAGGGTGGTTTGTTTAAATCAAAGCCAGAAATATTTTTAGTTATTAGTAGAACAAACGAAAACGAAATTAGCACATCTTCTCCGGTATATCAAAGCTCTGGAGTTACTACAAGCAATCCATATTGGGAACCATTTACTAGTAAGTTTAAATAAAATGATTTTTTTTTTTTTTTACATCCTTTCATATTTATTTATTTTATAATATTATGTAGTTAGAGAGACGACATTATGCAACGGGGATTTTGATCGAATATTGATATTTCAAGTGAAACAATACAAAAAGAACGGATGTACGTAATCGCATTAAATATGTGTATATATATATGTATATATATTTGAGATTCTAAAATTATTGTTTTAAATTACAGCACATATAATTCTTGGAGAATGTAGCGTAACCCTTCATGAAATTTTATCATCGAAAACGAGCTTTCCATTACGTTCACCTTCTAATTCAAATGTGAAGATTGGAAAAGATGCATGTATAACTGTTATTCATGCATCAGTTGAAGAGCCACCAACATTTTTAGATTACATTGCCGGCGGTACAGAGATTAACCTTGTGGTCGCAATTGATTTTACGGGATCAAATGGAGATCCTAGATCTCCAAAAAGTTTACATTATATTAAGGGAACAAATGATAATGAATATCAAAAAGCCATTCGCAGTGTTGGACAAATGTAAGATTAATTTTTAGTTTTAAGAAAGAATTTTTATGATTTATACGATAAATTTTCATTAATTTAATTTTTTTTTTTCGCGATTTTAGATTGGAGGGATATGATTATGATCGAAGGTTTCCGGTATATGGATTTGGCGCAAAATTCAATAAGGAATTATCTCACGCCTATCCACTGAATAATAATAGAGATGATGTACGTGAAATTAAGTTTCATTTATTCTTTATTGATTTAGCGTGGCGGTTTTCTTTTTGCTATTTCTTTTTTATATATTGTCTAACTTAACTTTGATTTTTTAGCCTGAAGTAGAAGGAGTTGATGGAATATTGAAAGCCTATTCAAAAGCCATGGAAACTATTGAGTTATTTGGACCGACTAACTTTTCACCTGTAAGTGTAGCTTATTTAGTACAGTTAAATATAGTAAAGTTGATTATTTATTAATAGTTTTACGCTTTGTTATAGATTATAGATCAAACAGCCGCTAAAATTAAAAGGGAGATCGATAATGGAAATGACAATGTTTATTATATATTGTTAATAATTACAGGTAATTTTTTTTTTTTATCACAAATTCGTATTTAAGTTACAATATATTGATTTATTCTTTATTTATAATGATACATATTTTACTTTCTTTCCAAATTATAGATGGTGTGGTAACTGGTATTTACGTTAATTTAAATTTTTTAATGTTTGATATAATTTTTAAATTATATTTTTTTAACAATTTGTTCTTTTTATTAGTTATGGAGCCAACAATTAGAGCAATTATAAGTGCCAGTAAACTTCCATTGTCCATTGTTATTGTCGGAGTTGGCAATTCAGATTTTACTAATATGAAGATACTTGATGCTGACGAAAAACCATTGGTGGTAAGTAGTTATTACTAATACTTGGAATGTTTTATTTTAAAAATTGTTAATGTCTCATTCTAATTATAATTATAATTTTGATTTACTTAGCAAAAATCAATCCCTCAAGCAAGGAAACCAGCAGTAGTAATGGATAGAGATATAGTACAATTTGTAGCAATGAGAGATTTTCAGTCAGAAGCAGCATCATATGAGTTACCGAAAGCAGTATTAGAAGAAATTCCTGATCAATTTATGGAATATATGACGAAACATAAAATAGAACCAAGACCTCCAGTTAGGATAGATGTATCAGACTTAAAAGTTAATCATAGATTTATCAATACTCCTGATGAACCTCCACCGGCTTATACATGAAAAAAAAGCAAATTTTTGCTCCGATCAACTTGGAAATTTATTAATAAATACGTAAATCTCTCAAACTTTCCGTAAACGTTATTTGTAAAATATTCTTATTATTATATTATAATTATAATTGTTATTATTTATTATTATTATTGGAAACTTGAGATGATATATAATTATATAATTTTAGATTTTAGAAAAAAAAATTTGTATTAAATTGTACATATTAAGTAAGTATATGACGAAATGATCTTAATCTAGAACAAACATTTTATTTTTTTAATCAAGTTCTATTCATACTTTTTCTGTTTATACAATACAATTTATTTTTTTTCAATTTATTAAATCACTAATTAGCTTCTTTAATTATTTTAACGAAAAGAATGAATATATCAAATATTATCAAGTAAGGAAAATTGTAACAATTGCGTGAGTGTTAAGTTAGATTTTTGTTCAATCATTACGAGTAAATTCCGTGCGAAAAAAAAATTTCTTATCTGTTATCCATGTGACAGTTGATTGAACCTGAACCTGCTGTTACACGAATCAAAAACAATATTTTTGCGACAGTTGTATACTTAAAAGAAAAAGATGATTGAAATTTTAAATAATGCGCGGAATTTATCTTTTAAAGTATAAAAGGTTTGACAAGAGCTCAATTAATTTTTTTTTTTTTTTTTTCCAAATGCTGATTTTTTTTTATAACTCATATTTGCTAGGATTTTCATTTATTAAATTTTTTTTACAAGAATAAAATACAAATTATTAAGAATATACTTTTTTTGTAATGATAATTTATCTAACATTAATAAAGTCCATTATTGTACATATTACATTTGCATTAAATACCGTCAGCGTTCAAACAAACTTTTCTTTAAAGAACAAATAGAGATGAACAAGGTCGCGTGACTTAATGGATTATTAAAATATTTATCATGATAATATTTGATAACGTATCCGAAATATTAGCAAGATTTTTTAATAAATATATAGATTCTCATATTATGCATTAAACAAAAGTATTATGAATAATAATGCAACAAACGCAAACGACATCTTAATACCAAAAGATCGTAATTTTCAAAGATTTATTGATGCAGTCCTACTAACTTCCAACATCCACATCGTTCTTGGATTAACTCACCTTTTATTAGACAATCCATAACTCTCCATCCCGAAGATGTCTCTATCAATTACGTGCTTTTGACCATTCCTCATTAAATTCTAATCTTAAGAATAAGGCGAGACGTTATTAATTTATGGAGTACTTTTCTTCCTAGGAAGACTAATAATCCTACTAATTTGTAAGTCCAATGTCTCATTTTTTTTGTGATTTAATTTAATCTAACGTACTTTATGATAATTAATCAAATAGAAATGGTGATAATCATATTCTAAAATACTTAAACCTATACGTATCCATTAAATTAACTGTATCAGTAACTTGAGATTACAAATACATCAGAGTCAGAGCAGAAGTCAGAGTGGGTCAATTATTAGAGTATAAGTAAAATTAATTCTATTTATTTACGCATACATAACTAATTATAAATAACTGTTTTTTTTTATAAAATTAGAAATTTAACATCCGTATTTAATATTATAGATTCGAACTTCAACTCCTTTATCAATTTATATTCAATATTCGTTAATTCAGGCGCTTAATCCCTATAAAAAATTTTTATCCGAATATTTCCATTATTTCTCCGTGGCTTTCGTAAAAATTCCGTGAAAATGATACATCCCGGATATTCGTGATAGAGTAGATGAAAGATTTCCATGATTTTAAGGTTAAAAATTCCATGAAAATAATACATTCACGACAAAATCATGGAAATATAAACACGGATCAATTGCTATATAATTTAGTTAACAATTATTATACATTTTTTTTTTAAAAAATAACAATCATTTATTTTTTGTAATTCTTTGATTATGTTCAATTGCAGAAGAGTCAAAAAACAGATTAAATCAGGCATAACATTGGAATTAAGAACGTATCCCTAAAAAAAATTAAAATTTTTTTAAATTTTTTCAGAAAAATTTATCACGTGTCTGAGTTTCTTCGGAAATAAAAACTAGAAAAATGATCATTTTATCGGAGTTTTTTCCAGAATTTTTTTTTTTATAGGAGGCAAATATTGGTAAAAAATATTATATTATTTAAACAAATTTTATAAATTATATTAATAAACTACTTAAACATTTATTATTTAAAAGAATAAATTATACATAGTGTTTTTTACTTTCATATTTTTAATATTTTTAACTAAATTATATTATAAACTAACTTAAGCATTTATAAATTTTATATATAGTGTTTTTATTTTCATATTTTTAACTAAACTTTTATATTTGTTTAACGGTATTATTATGTACTGTACATATCTATAAAATAAGAATGATTATTATTATTATTTTTTTTTTTTGTAAGATGAAACGAAAAGTATAACATCACTTAACGTTCAAAAATAAATTAAAACTGTTTAAATGCTAATCACATAATTAAGCATTTTAGTTAACGAATTTCGAATATAAGCTGATAAAATAGTTGGAGTTCGGGAAGCACCAGTATCTATAATATTAAACACAGGTGTTAAATCACTATAGTTTAATAAATAACAATTATAATTAGATATGTATGCGTATTATTATTATATTATATTTGAATTTAAATATATTTATTTACTTACATACTACGTGAATCGGTAAGAACTGGATATCGAACTTCATGAATTAAAATATCCCATTCACCGTTCCTTTTTTTTGAAAAAATTATTATAAAATATATTAATTTTAAAAATTAAATAGCATATATAATAAAATATCAAAACTTACAAGTTAGTATGACTATTAGTCTTTTTATAAAGAAAAATACTCCATAAATTACGAATATCCTGTAAAATAATAGCCTTATTCTTATAATTAAAATTTAATAATGAGGAATGATCTATTTTATTGTACACAAAATATGTAATTCCAATAAATGGATAAATTTCTTCAAGTTTAAAATCTCCAAAATTTCCGGATTTGTCTGATAGAAGATGAGTTAATCCAAGAACGAATTTCATAAAATTTACGAGCATCATATCATCAGGAAAAATTTGTTGATATATTCGAACATTTGAAGTTAATTTAATTTGGGTAGGATCAAAATCTCGACTGGTTACTGCATCGACAAATCTTTGAAAGTAAATATCTTTTGACCTTAAAATGACACTTGTTGTATTATTGTTTTTATTTAACCACCAATTAATTATATGAGGATCTATATATTTGTTTAAAAATTTTGCTAATATTTCAGATACATTATCTATATTATCATGATAAATAGATGTTCGCGTTGTTGTTAACATTATAAGTATTTGTAATAAAGATTGTAGCGTCGTAGTTTATTACAAGTGTTTAGATCAACTTCTCGAAAAAAAAATATAATAAACTTTGTCGGGTTATATATTAGGTTTTTTTTTAAATTCGGATTCGTTTTAGTTTTTATTCTTTAAACGATCTAGTATAAAATGTATATGTACAAAAATGAATTAATAATTGAAATATTATTATGGATAAAATAATTACAGGATAAATTATTATACAGTTGAAGAGAAAAAAAAAAATTATTCAAGAAAAAAAGAAAGTTCTACCCAACATTTTATATTGATGCAAAGGTAAAGAATATGATATAAGAAGACAGTGGACGAAAAGCAAAATTACTTTAAAAGGAAAAAAGGAAACCATTGTTTTGTTGTGTAGTAAGATATTCATTGGTGATTTATAATTCGGAATCTACGGTCTTTATTATATATTTTTATTTGAACCGATAAATCCGATAATGCATAATATGCATAATAATATTTTTTATCAAAATAAACATTGTAGTTATATAATTAATAAAGTATTCACTAAAGTATGACAATGATAAAACTTTAATAATTCTATCAAATTTTTTTTTTAAAAAAAAATATGAAATTTAAAAAATTTGAGACGCGAGATTTATTTTATTTAAAAGGATATTTTTAGTAAAATTTTTGGTAAAACGGGTAAACAATCATAGGCATCACAATGTTACATTTTACTGTTACAGAATTTGAAACAAGCCAACAAGCCACGTTTAGAGTGATCGCTCATAATTCCTTGTTTTGAATAGAATTTCCTGATTTGGTATGATGGTGTCAATAAATCATCACAACCTTTTATTTAATATGAAAATTTAAAAAAAAATTACTAGTTTTTCATATAAAAATAATAAGAGAATAAGATTTCAAATGTTAAAGGGGAGATAACCAGGGGTTAACGAGAGGGGATTAACGAGGGGTTAACGAGAGGATATAGTACAAAAAATGAAAAAAATGAAAAAAAAAGAGACAAGACAAAGAATGAATAATACAACGAATCAAAGTCAATATTTAATATCCCAAAAAAAGTAAAAATGCGCTCACTTATTATATTATACCTAAAATCGAGAATAAAAAAAAATACATTTTCGGGTTTGGCTCAATTAATCAATCAAATTATTAAAAGTTATTTAATTGACAGGTTCATATCAATAAATATTAATTTTATTTAATAAATATAATGCGAAATAATATCATTAAGTATTGTACAAAATTTTAAATTTTTAACAGATGTGTTGACCATATGATACATTTATGCGTGTTGCAGCAAGAAGAGGTAAATTTAAATTTTTTTTTTTAATCCGAAAAGTTTCATAAATTGTAAACGTTTTATGCATAAATAGTTATTTATTCGAGAGAATAAAACAAAAAATAAATGATTGTCAGTGAAATGTTGTCATTGTGATTGTCGATTGCCTCAATAAATATCGGAGATGTATATTAGAATATTTTAGCAAATACCATATTAGTGATTGACAATAATATCATAATATCCTAACATGACGTTTTAGGACTTTACAAAGATATTTGTTGACGCAGTAACCACCATACTACTCAAATTGCTAATATCCGCATAATAAGAAATTATTTCGCAACTCCTAGTTCACGTGCCAGGTTTGATGTTACACAATGAGAGGATCAACAAACAAGCAGGGGATAATACAAGTTTTATCTAATTATAAATGATGTTCCGGAGTCCGGGACAATCAATGAATATTCGTACTGTACGACATTGATTTTCTGTCCGATAGTCAGTGAATAATTAATTAATTGACCCTAATTCCGGTGTTTTTTTTATTTCATGTTATTTCCGTAAATGTATCATAAAACATGGAAATTATCCAAGTTGCTTAAATTTTTAGTCATTTTCCCGTAAATGTTTCATATTCACGGAGTTTTTACAGAAATCACGTATTAAGATTTTTTACAGGGATGAGATTTTATTTGGAAAAAAAGAATTAATAATGATTTTTTTTTGAAAAATAATTTTGTCGATAAATAAAATTTGCTAGTAATAAATCTCGTATTTGCATTCTATAGTGTCTATTTTATTTTATTTTTTTTTTTTCTCTTTCATTTTCAAGTTTATATACTTTGGATTATGCTAATGAAACTTTGGATTATACTATTTGTCTAGAATGAAATATCAGTCAAATATAATTATGAGATATAATAATATATAATAAATGTAAATTAAATCACGTAATAATATAACAAATTTTAAGAACTGCATTTTAAAAAATAAGCAAAATAGCCAATGAACGATGGGTTAAATGGGGTCAAGTTTCTTGACCAACCTGATTGGCTACATAACAAATTACAAAATTAATTAAAAAAGTTTAAATATTAATTATATCATTAAGTACTTGAATTAACGAATTTTTAATATAAACTGATAAGGGTATTGAAGTTTGAGAAATACCAAGATCTATAATATTAAATGCTGGTGTTAAATCCCTATAATTTCGAAAATTATGTCATAATTAGTTATGTATATGTATATATTAGGCCAGTTCAGCTTTTTTATCGTAATCCGAGTATGTGATCAAAATCAAGAATTGAAGTCTTCTTTTACCACTGATTGCAAAAAATTCTATTTAACTAATCAGCCTCATTTTAAAAAAAATCCCACTTTTCTTGTTTGGAAAATCCAGGTCGCTGATCAGGTTACACAATCCTGACAGCCAATATAGCCAATATTTACGATCAAGAAATGAACTGGCCTATTCTATATAAATAGAACAAATTTACTCACACTCTACTTGAATCATTAAAAATTGGATAATGAGTTTCATGAATTAGAACGTCCCATTCACCATTCCTAGTATTTGAATAATTAATTATTAGTTTAAATTAAAACTTTAAAATTAATATAGAGAATCGTACTTACAAATTAGTATGACTATTCGTCTTTCTAAAAAGAAATATACTCCATAAATTACGAATGTCTCGTAAAATAAGAGCTTTATTATTAGGATTAGAATTAAATAATGAAGAATGTTCTATTTTATTATATATAAAGTATGTAATTCCAATAAATGGATAAATATCTTCAACATGTAAATTTCCGGATTTATCTAATAAAAGATAAGTTAATCCAAGAACGAATTTCATAAAAGTTACGAGTGTCGTACGATCATCAGGAAAGATTTTTTGATATATTTGGACATTTGAAGTTGGTGTAATTTGGGTAGGATCAACGTTCCGGTTGGTTACTGCATCAACAAACCTTTGAAAGTTACGATCTTTTGGCCTTAATATATTATTTTTTATATTATTAATATCAATAATGTTTTTATTTAAACACCATTCTAGAATATGAGAATCTGTATATCTGTTAAAAAATTTTGCTAATATTTCAGATACATTATCAATATTATCATAATAAATGGATGTTCGCATTTTAATAATTAATAACATTGTATTATTATTGGTGATTAATAAACATTCAACCAAAAGTTTTTTTTTAACGGCTGATAATATTTCAAAATAATTAGTGCGTAATAGAATTTTAAAAAAAGAAAATACAAGAAATATGAGAAATATGAGATCAGATAAATAATTGCTATAAGGATTATAATACGTTTAAAAAGGGGAAGCGTTCAAAAGGATGAAATTATAAAAATTTATTTGTTGTTATGCTCTTATAAAATCAATATTTGAAAAAAAAATAATTCGAAAAAAAAAGGTTTTGGCTCAGCATTTATATTGCTGAAAAAAAAGTTAGTCCGAGTAATTAAAAAGCATGTAAAAATAGATTACTGAAAAGGAAAATCATTTTTTTTTTGTGTAGCGATTATTTAATTGAGAAGGTAAAACTTAAAATTTTTTTTCTACTTAATAAGAAAAAAAAATTATCACGTGTTTCCTGATACATTTAGGATTAATAATGTCCTTTGTCTGGAATACTAAATAACACGAGGAATGACGATAATTTGGAAGTGTATATTACGAAAAAAATTTCACAAATGGAAAAACAATTGATTAAAATTATATGCATACATATTTTTAAGAAAGAAAAACAAATGTTCTTTATATTATCTGTAGTAGATGAATAAATAATAAATAAACAATATTATAAATGATAAACAACGTTTCAAAATCGTTTTCACGCTATAAATAGCAAAAGTGCGATGATCATCAGAAAAAATTGTTGTATACTGTAAAGGAAAAAAAAGATAGTATGCTGATTTTCTTTTCCTATGAAAAACGGATATCTGAAAATGTCTTGTTATCTCCAAAATGTCTGCAAATATCTAAAAAAAAAAAATTTCATTATAACTGACTAACCGACTATATATTTTATTTTATAAGGTAGTGCAAGGCAGCGTCCTAAATTGATTTAACAGTATCAATATTTGAAATCCATAGAAATTCCGCATATAAAAACTTTGCCATGTTTCGACGTGTTACGATAAACTAATAATTAATTTTGTCCTAATTGATATTAATATTATTGTGTCAGGAAGTTACTTTAGAATATCGGTTAAAGCCGATACAATAATAAATCGGAAATTTTTTCCGGTGACTTTTTTATCATGTACGAAACTGGATTTAGCGAAACCATAATCGGATTTTGAATAAATTATTATTATAAACAAATTAAATTTATAGATTGATTTGTTTTATAAAAAGAAAAAGAAAAAAAAAAATCTCCGTGAATTAAAAATTATGAATGTCTTACATAATCGTGCATTTAATTAACGATGAATGTTCTTTTTTAATTAGTACAACAAATACAAATAATGAATTCTACAAATTCATTCACAAATTGTATCCATAATGGATGTGTGTTACGTTACTTTTTTTTTTTTTATGGTTTGAACATTTATGATTTTCTAATCACATGTAACGCACTGTAATCATGTAAAACATTTCATTCCGCTGAGACACGATTTTATGCATCCAAAACGTTCGGTTTGATTTCCAACTGCCTTAATAAATAATTATTTTATGTAAAGTACGTAATCTAATAAATGGACATACTGTATATCTTCAACAAGCAAATTACCGGATTGGTCTAATAAAATGTAAGTTAATCCAAGAACAAAATTATGAGTACATTGTACGGTCATCAGTTGATACTGGCTGTTATTGTAATTTAAATCCTGGCTAGTTACTGTATCGATATACAGTAACTTTGAAAATATGATCTTTTGAATTTGCATATTTCGCATTATTATTGTTATCAAGAATATTTTTATTTAAAAAGTTTAAACACCAAACAATAATACGAGGATCTTATATTTGTTAAAATAATCAAAATAATCATACTAAGAAACGTAATAAATAGGTATTGTGGTTTTTGTAAGAAAGTATGTATGATGATCATTCAAAATGATTGGCAATCATGTGATAAATAACCAATCAAGATGCATGATATTTATGTTTGATTTTAAAATAAGAATTTTGAAAATCTTAAAATTTTATAAAAATTAAATAATAATCCGTATAATAATGTATAATAATAAATCAAATAAAGAATCAAAATATATAGTGTTATTTAATTTTAATATTAATAGTTTATAATAAATATTAACAAAAATATATAAATTTCTATATTAGAAATTAAAATATAATGTTAAATAAATTATTAATTATATTATCGAGTTATATTAAAAAAAATTGAAATAGAAAAAATTGAATCTATAAAATTTCTTAATTACCTATATTATTATTTAACATGATTTTCATAAGTTTTCCAAAAGTTTAATAATTACATTTTCTATTAGCGTTAAATATTGTATGATATAAATTATTAGATTGAACAAGACAATTTTTTAAAATAAATGTAAAAACTATAATTCTTATTATTCGTTTATAAAGAAAAAAAATAAATAATAAAAAATTAATTTGAATGTTTGATATCTAATTTGTGATCAAACCACATTTTTTTAATGCCAGATATCAAAATTTGTTTTAATCATATTAATATGTAAAAATATGCAAAAAATTTTAGTTTTATTGAATTTTACGAAAAAATTAAATACAAAAAATTATTCTGGAATTTTAATAACAAGAGATTCATAATGAAGTTTAAAAAAATTGGTTAGTAGTATTTAATTTTATGTATAATAATACGGTAGTAGGAAAAGAAAACTTTATTTAAAATTATTTTATTAGCGTATTGTACTGCGTACATTGCTAAATGTACTAGCACGTGCAGAATACTGTAGTGACCTATTAATTATCTTTTTTTATCCTTTTAATTATTATCCTTAAAAATGATATTGTATTATATCAATGATAATTTTAATATTCTAAATTTTCAAATTAAAAAATCAATATTATAATGTAAACTGAGCTCGTAAATAAGCAAAATTAATAGGTTATAATAAATTTTTTTTTGAAATTACGTATAAATCACATAATGTTATGTCTCAGATCGATTCTTACCTCAGATCGCAGCTCACGCATAAAGTTCGAGAAGTACTACCATCAATACATGGCTCACTTGATGATCGATATTCTGATCGTCAAGTGAGTCAAATCCGGTTATCATTAGTTATGATTTACAACATGTATATATCGCAAGACAAATTTAATTCGTGATCCGTGAGCCAACTGCAAAAAATTCTTTGGTGCAAATTTTTGTCGATCATTAGTAATCTTTTTCTGATACCCGGTTTTCATTCCTTAAGTAATGCTCTTCATGTAAACCCATTCGACTCTGACATATTTTAATACATAATATTTATCCCAAAGTTTCAAATAATTTGTTTTTTAAAATAAATTTCTCACATAAATTTTTTCTTTTATTTGACGCTACCCATTTTCTGCAGATCCTTTGCAGTTGACTCGTGGATCACGAATTAATACATCCACTTGAGTCCGAAAAACTTACTAGCGAACACCGAATTTCGTAAATTAAAATATTCCATTCACCATTTCTATATGATTTATTGTCCGGAGCGAAGCGAAGGACAATATATGTCTACGCACTATGAAAAAAAAATCGATCCCGTGAATTTCTCTGTCCGCCACGTGATCGTTCCCCAATAAAATCGCAAATTTAGCTTTTTCGCTCCGGACTTACAACGGTTCCCGTTTCCTAGTTATTATAAAGTACGTTAGTTTAATAATCAAATTACAAATAAAAATATTTGGACTATTAGTCTTTCTAAAAAAGAAATACTCCATAAATTAAGAATTTCCCGTAGAATAGAGAGACTTATTTTTGAGATTAGAATTTAATAATCTATTTTATAATACATAATTCCAATTGATGGATAGATACAAATTTCTGGATATGTCTATCAAAAAGTAAGTTATTCCAAGAACGAATTTCATGAAAGTTACGAGTATCGTACTATCGCTAAGGAATCAACATGTTACTGCGTCAACAAATCTTTGAAAGTTATAATCTTTTGGCCCGCCCTAAACCTTCGTTTGTATTATTAATGATTTTTTTTATTAAACCAATCTATAATATGAGGATCTGTATATTTGTTAAAAATTTTGCTAATATTTCAGATGCATTATCGATATTATCATGATAAATAAATGTTTAAATTTTATCTGGAAGTCACTTATTTGCCACAGAAGATGCGATAGAATATGTCTGGGTTATTATTAACGTTTCCTTTTAACATCTGATTCTATTAAACAATCTTGGGATGTACCAATTTGCAGTCATTTAATTTTGATTGGTTGATTGTCTATCATGTGATTAAATTGACAAACAATTGGTTTATTTCTATTGTACCTTTTTCTATTCTCAAGTCATTATTCATTGCCGAGAGAATGTGATACTGCAGTGATGGCATTAAAAGTTGGAGGCACTTTTGGAACTTCAAAATAAAAAAACATTGGAAGCTTTCAATGCCCATCACTGTGATACTGTATCTGTTACATAAGTGGTTACGCCACGCAATACGCCACACAATTCCAATCAATTTCCAAAATAATCTGTAATTGATTTGAAGTCAAAGCCACTCAACCTGCAAGAACTGCGGTAATTCATTTGCGGAATTTGCGGAGCGCAAATTACTTCTGGATTCCGTAAATTATATATGGTTCGAATATTAATTTAATTGCATGTGGCTTTTCTTGCGCATTGCGCAATAAGTATTTTACTTGAACACTGACAGCGTTATGTTACAATTATAATTTTATTTTACTTTATAGAAAAATTTCTTTGATTTCCTGTATAAGAACAAGAGTAGAACAAGTAATTATGTCACAATAGGCCAAGAAGGTAACTTCCGCAATTAACTTAATTTTAAAAAAAAGAGAAAGATTTCCTAATAAATATTGTTACATAAAAAAGAAATTTGAGATTTTAGTCAATTTTTTTTTTATCCGAATACCGAAAAAATTTTCAATTTTTGGAATTTGTAAAAAAACGGATTAATAAATTAGTTATTATTGGAATTATTGAAAGTATTTATATAGTTTCATTCATTTTAATCTCGGAATTTCCCGGATTACCTACAGTATATTGATGTCAATCAAATTAACTAAATTTAAACTAGTTTACCATAATCACATTACCAGCATTTTCACATTATCTCATACATAAGGATGTGATTGGCTTAACTTAGATTGCGAAATGTTAAGAAAGAGAGCAATATAAAGCATATTTACCATAATCTTACAATGTGTATAATTTTTTAAATATTTAATACAGAAAGACAGTCATCATTTTATTTGTACTGAGGTCGTCATTTATTAATAAATCGACAAACGATTTAAGAAACCAATTTTTTTTTATTAAATTGTCAGGGCATTCAAATATTTAATAATAGAATAAAATATACGAAATATCGGCGGATTTGAATAATCAACGTGTTATTTTGTTACACAAAGCATTACATAAGGCGCGAACATTAAAAAATTTTTATTTGGTTTTGCTATACAATAATTTGATAAATACTTCTTTTAAGCCAAAAATATAATAAGTATGATTCTAATAATATTGATAATATCCGTTATGGGATCTCACTTTGCGCGAAATATTTTTTTGTAAAATTGAAAGTACATATGTTTTACAATCAGTTTTGAGTGCAAAGTTCCTATAATGTGTACAATAAAATAAATGTGAATTAGTTATATGACTTGAAAAATATAAAAAAATGGACTTTAAACATAAAAAAAATTTTTTTAAACAATATTCATTGAGTTTTAAAAACTTTTAAATATTTATAGCTATTGTGACTATATAAATTTCTATTTTACATCTTGTTTTATTAAAGCATACTCACTTTCTAATAATAATTACTAAAATTACTATGCAGGCGAGAAATGGGTTTTTTTGATGTTACTATCGGTTTTCGTCGAAGTCACGTGATAGTAACGGAAGTACGCATAAGTCAATTCACAAAATAAGGTGTATATGTCAATTTAAAGTTTATATGTATATAAATTTAAAATGTATATTTATTGGGAATAAGCAATAAATGAAACCATAAATAAGTAATAAATAATAAACTTCATAAATCATAAAATATAAAATAAAACAAAATATTGCTGCCTCCACCGGCGATCTACAATGATATTACCGAATAGAAAACTAAACTAAAATTATACTAAAATAAACCTTTCTAAAATCTCTCTTTATCGCTTCGTTTACCTTATCTTTTTATACTATATCGTATCTTCGAGTAAGTTATCGTATCGATAAGTTACTTTAAAATAAGTTATCAAATCGATAAGTTACTATAGGAGTAAAGTTACTATTAAAGAATCTATTAAGGTAACTTACTATCCGGAGCGTCGATCATTACCGGGGTTCCGATTCCAGCGTCGATCCGCGTGACATTAACAATCTTGAAGTATGAAAATCATTTAACAATATAAAAAAACTTATACTAATAGACTTTAAATGAAAAATCCAGAACTCAAGATTTCTTTCCCTTTTTCGATCGGCTTTTATATTCTGATTCTATTTCACTTTCTTGGTGGGTTCCAGGCGTTGAATGAAAATCTTCTTCAATAAATAGAGAATAAAAAATAAACCGATACTGGGACTCAAATTTATTTTCAGAGATGCTATATATGAAAATCACGTTCAATTTTCTATATAATTGGAACCTACTAAGAATGTGAATCAAAATCGTAATATATAGTAATTAAATTACTAATTGCTTATGATTTAAATAATAAAATTCAGTGTATTACTATATCATGCATGACATGATCACGATTTATTTCAAAGAATCACGATTTTTTCTTAACCAAAAAAAATATATTCATTTAAACGTGTATAAAAACTTTTTCTGATTTTTAATTTTAATTTCTTATTCGGAATTATTGAAAGAGGAGTTCAATTAGAAGTTTGGGAATTTGCGGAACTTTTTTCCGGAACCAAATCATATAAAATAAATTTGATATAATGGAATTTATTAGTAAAATCTCGATAATTGCTATAACGGAACAAATAACGAATCAGTTATATTAAAAATGATTCGATTTACCGGAACACGTGATGATTCACGGTTTTAAACCAATAAAATTAGCAGCAAGTGTGATGATCCTTTGGAAATTTTAGTGGAATACGCAAGCTTTGAAGACTCAGATGAAATTTTTCTGAATATATTGACTAGGAATGTTGAAAATATTGAAGAATCTTCATCACTTTATAAGGATGTAATATAAATAGAATTTCCTAAATAAGATTGTTTATTTGGATAATTAACATATGGGAAACCCCTAAAAATAAATCAGATCATACACGAAATCTTTTTTTTACACTTTAATCACGAACTTTTTTATTGAAAATATGTCTAATAGTGAAGTAAGAAAAGCAAAAACAGGGTAGGATAGATGATTTTTTTTAAGTTTTAGTTTATAAAATTTCTCAAATAATGTTTTAAATAAAAAATAATCTAAATTTTCAGTGTTCGTCGCACATGTCGCACAAATAAAAACTTGATTTCATATGATTTATATATAAAATCCGGTATATCGAAATTTTTTGATATATCGGAAGTCTCGATATACCGGATATTTTTACTGGAACGGATGGTTCCGTTATATCGAATTTCACTGTGTATATACAGTATGTGCTTTATTATACGTTAAATTTTGTAACGAGTCATCGGAAAAAAAAAATAGTTAAGAGGTTTATAATTTACTGAGATCATAAAAATTTCACACATGTAGATCTGTTTTACTTGAAAAGTACGAAGTGGTGTACCTACGAAATTTTTTTGTTGGAATTTCAGTTATTCAAAAATAAAATTTCAAATGAGGCTCAAAAATAGATAAACAAACGGAAATTACTAACCAAAAAACAGCAGAATGAAATTAACTTTAAAAGTAATTAAATATTGATTACATCATTAAGTGCTTCAATTAATGAATTTTGAATGTAAACTGATAAGGGGACTGAAGTTCGAGAAGTGCCACCATCAATAATATTAAATGCAGGTGATAAATCTCTTTTTATCGAATAATAGTTTTAATTAGTTATGATGCAGTATTTGTAATATATTTTATGATAAGTTTACTCACACTCCAGATGAATCAGTTGAAACTGGATGTTGGGTTTCCTGAATTAGAATATTCCATTCACCATTCCTTATTGGATAATTGTCATATAATAAGTCAGATTAAAAATTTAAGTATAAAATATAATAGGTCATTGTACTTACAAGTTAGTGTGACTATTAGTCTTTCTGGAAAGAAAAATACTCCATAAATTACGAATGTCTCGTAAAATTAGAGACTTATTGTTGAGGTTAGAATTTAATAATGAAGAGTGATTTATTTTGTCGTACATAAAATAAGTTATTCCAATAAATGGGTAAAAACCTTCAAGATGTAAATTTCTGGATTGGTCTAACAAAAGGTAGGTTAACCCAAGAACGAATTTCATAAAAGCTACGAGTGATGTACGATCATTAGGAAAAAATTGTTCGTACGTGTGGACGTCAGAAATTAATGTAATTTGAGTAGGATCAAGATCCCGGCTTGTTATTGCGTCAACGAATCTTTGGAAGTTGTAATCTTTTGACCTCAAAACTTCGTTCGTATTATTGTCAACAATAATATTTTTGGTTAAACACCAATCTTTAATGCGAGAATGTGTATATTTGTTAAAAAATTTTGCTAATATTTCGGATACATTATCGATATTATCATGATAAATCGATGTTCGCATTTTATCTGGAAACCACGTATTTATCATAAATATGCGTTATTCTTAACGTTATGTTAACGTTTCGTTTATCTCTCTTATTCTTGATTGTTTATTTAACGTTTGAGTAAAATGTGTGTGTAGATTTACTGAATTTACTGGGTCAATAAAGAAATATTATATATTAGATTAGACTAAATGACTTATATAATATGTTTAAAAGTAAAGCAGGTAAATTTTTAGATAAAATTTTATCAGCTTTATGCTCTTATAAGAAAATCAATAAATGAAAAAAATAACTAAATATAAGTTGATAAAAAAAAATGGTGCTAACGTTTTTTTTGATTTATTTTCAAAATTTTGCATTTATCTTGAGAAATTTTTTTCGAAGCCAAAATTACCGCGTTTTTATAGCATCTATTTTATTAATGTGTTCAGATTGTCACTAATAAATATAATCAGAAAGATGTTAAATATTGTCCAAAATAATAATTACCATACATCTATTAATTTGTACTATATTTGGACTTATGTACAACACTATGCAAATTGTGAAATTTTGATGTTTAATATTTATTTTGCTTGTAAACAGAATTACTTTAACATTTTTATATCGATGTTTTAATTAACCACAAAAAAAAAAAAAAAATTCTTATCAAAAATTATTCAATAGTGATCAACCCATTTTTTTAATGATTTGATAGATTTTTTAGTCAAGTTGTAGCACAACGGAAATTATTGGTGCATATTGAATGGCCATTTACTGATCGGACAAATTTTTAAAATATAGAGTTTTACATTTAATAAATCGGTTGTTTAATGGGTAACAAGAATTTAAAAACAAAAATAAATCAGGTTAGACGAAATATGAATTCTTTAAACTTACTTGAAAATATACGCCAGTGTGTAATAAAATAACTTACTCCTATACTTATATTAAATATTTAATTATGTACAGAAATAATATTCCCATTCAATAACAGGTAAATAGAACTATATAAAAGTTGAAAAGTTTCGGTAACATGAAGAATTTCAGACTTTTCTATACAACATTTATCTTAGTAAGATTGTAAAATGTTTTTCCCATTAGACATTTTCGGACAATAAACACAATAAACTCCGGAAAATGTCCAGGTGAAATACGGAAAATATAGGAAAATATACTGAAAATCTAATTTAGTAATTTCTTTTGATATAAATAAGAAGTTCGCCTTACTTTAAAGGAATAGAAATCATAGTATTAATATTGTTGAATTTGGTCCTAAACATGATCTGATGTTCATCAGCTTTTTAGATTACTAAGGTTATTAGTGGTTACGCCACACAATCCATTTCCCAAAATAGCTCCGATTCGAGGCAAACCACTTGACCTGCAAGAATTGTTTTCATTTCGCGCTAACCGAAAAAAAAATTACTATTTTAGTAATAAAGATGATATTTAAGCTTGTCGATTATTTTAAAAAAAATCTTTTTAATAGATTATTGTAAAATAATAGTTTCAAATATGCTAATTAAAATGTTCAAAAATTATCTTAATAATAATATTCCACAAATAATCTAATATTAATTTCATTAAAAATTGTTGGTGAATATAAAGATGTGAGTATTTTTTCGTTAAACTATCAGATTTCAAACATTTTAAATATGTAGTATAAATACATAAAACGTATATTTGTATTAATAAGGTTATCGATTTTAAATAAATAAATAAATAAATTTATATTTTTAACGAGATCAAGATTATCTTTTCTTTACTTTTTTTTTTTTGATCGACTTTACCGATGAAGGGTGACCTCACTTTTCTCTTTTCGGCGTTGAATATAAATAAACACAGAATAACAAATAATAAACAAATAATAAACAAATAAAAAACGTTATTGTTGATCAGGTAATGTAATCTTTATAATTCGTTAAATTTCACGTATTCCGATTCTTTTAATAACGGAGGCCCTTTAAAAAATTTACGCATATTATCTCATGTATTTAATTTAATCTTGCGGGGGCATTTTTGTTTATTAATAATTCGTTTCCCTATCCCTTAAACTGTAGGGGTTAAAATTAATTTTAAAAATTTTTGAATTTTTAAAATATCTTAAGATCTAGTGATCATAGAAAGATGAAATTATATTTGTTAGATTCCTCTTATTAAGGCGCATTTAATGGTAATAAAATCATAACTCTAAAATTGATAGATAAAATGTTATATTAATTTATAAATTTTTAGATTTTATAAGTTATCCTGTCACATAATATTTGTAGAAGGACAATTTTTATTTCTATTAGATTCTTCTTATTGAGACGCATCAAATGGTGGTAATTTTATATTTCTAGGGTTAATAGATAAAAAGATATTTCAATTTAAAAAATTTAGCTACTATTTGTTATAATTTGTCGATCATTTACTTTTGAAAAATCATTA